GGGGAACATGTAGATGTCAGGTCACGTGGCTCGCCTTCCTAGTACCAATGCTGGACATAGAGATTGGAGGGGAGAGCAAAATATGGTAGGATGTGTGCGAGATGGAATAGCTATGTCAAGTTCAGCCAGCTCTGCGTGTATGGTTTGAGTACCTGCAAGGGCTGCGTGAGTGGGGAGTAGACCAGTAAGTGCGAGTGGGAGGAGGGTTGGCCCGGTTTGGGAGAAAAAGTGGGGGTTGGGAGGATAGTGAATTGGGGGGGGTTGAAAAGTGGGGGAGGAAGTAGTGGTGGGAGGACGAGTTGTGAGAGTTGAGTTAGTGAGTTTAGTGAGGACCTATCAGTGTAGAACGATGATGAGAGAATGAAGTAGGAGGCGTAATCAGTTGAGGGCCGGTCGCGGAGCTGTGGTTGTGGCAAATAGGAGAACAGGACGTTAGCACAGAAACACCCTCGCTAGGCAGGGCAGCATCCCTGTCTAGTGTGAGGGGCTTGTCTTGTAGGTGGGAGGCCCATGTATTTTGCATCAAAACAGGGCTTGAGAGAGACCTGGTGTACCGGGGGAGGACACTGCGCGGATGAAAATTCTGAACATCGATCTCGGTATCCATTGGGAGCAAGCAGGTCAGAGTGATCCTGTATAGGGTACTCCCTTAATAGCCCCAGGAGTCACTAAGTAAGTCTACAGGAAGAGAATATAGATGATAGTAGTAGTTTGGGCTCAAAATACTTGACATTGCTGATCAGCCCTGAGCCACACCACACTATGGTAGTAGCACAGTGGAGGGGGGCCCAGGTGAGTGTGGTGAAGGAGAAAGTGATTTGTGATGAGGATTCTCAGGATATTGGTGTAGTGTATGAGAAGGACTAGTTTTTGAAGTTGGCCAGAAACTGATGGGACGTGGTGGTCACCGAGGACGGGCGATGTCACGTGGGCAGTATTTGTTGTGCAATGATTATGGCACAAACCAATCCAGATAGTATGAGAGGAGAGGACACAAAAAATGTGTAGCCATGTTGGGGGCTAATAGTTGGTCAGTCTGTCAATAAAAGCACATGGGAATGCCTACATCCGGTTTAGCCACGCTATGAAAAGGGGACCATTTGAGGAACACAATGACTGCAATGGTATCGAGTAGTTGGTGCTTAGAAAAGAGATGTGTTCTGTTGGCTTGCAAGACGTTGGCAAAGAGAATGAGTCCATTCCGACTACCAACTGGACACTGTACAATGCCAGTAGAGTCACTAGTGTAACCAGAGCCACGCCCATTGAGGATGAAGGGACGCGATAGACACGAGGGTAGAAGATTGGAGCAATGTCTTGACGAGTTTTATGTGTATGTGATGTGTGAGGATGGTGTGTTTAGTTGGTATAGTAGGAATTAAATACAATAATAATTTCGGATTGGCGTGCTGCATGTTAGAATCTCTATTATCTGTATGCACTCCAGCTTGTTTTAGGTAGCAATCTATTGAGTTGTGTACATACGTACAAATTATATTCATTCGTTAGTCCAAATAACACACAGTTCCTAGAATCTTTGGTAGCATTGAATCGTCTCTTCCCTTGCTCCATGAATGAAAAGCTAGCATAGGCTGCACATCACATGCACACACACACACACCTTACCCTCGCTGTGCAGGCTTAGGCTGAGGTTGTTATTCATAATTGAACTTGCAAGGATTTATCAGCTTTATGAGCATTTGGAAAAACCCAGGCATACTGATGTTGTGTGCCGTTGGATGAGATTGCAGGTGTAGAGAGTTGGTGGAACCCATTTGTTTACGGACAGAGTTCACAGGATCATCACCTGCGGGCAGGTGTGTGGCGCAGGGTACTCGTATGGGTGTGAGGTATGGCTTCTCGTACCAGTGTGGGGAGGGGGAGGGCTCCAGGTGAGGGTGGGTAAGAGGCGGGGGTTGGGGAAGTGTGCTGCTGTGTGGGATGGACAGTGGGGAACAGTGTGGTGACAAATGGGAAGCAGGTCAGTGATCTAAATGCCAAGTACGTTGGTTATTGGCAAACTCGGTAGTTCCCCGCCATTGCATGTGCTCTCATAGAGTAATTGTATGTATGAGGTAATAAATTGGTTGTAGGTGCATCAATTACATCTATTGTTAATGAGTGATTTTGCTTGTCTGCACGCATAGCCGCACACCACGATAGACATTACTACGCTAATACAAAAAGATTATGCCATATCACCCTATGTCACTACGTATAGTATTGACCCACACTCATGCGCAGACATCATATGGGAACTGCGTCTGATTTTACTCTTACCCGAAAAAAGGTGACCACATCAGAGGGGAATGGCACTAGATGCTTGGACTATCACACTCTGTCCGACCGCGTCATCTGGAGATGGTGAGTGCAGGCCTGAACGCACCCAGTGGAGTGAGCCAGGGTTGATAGACTACAGCTGGACTTTTGATGCTCCCTGTGACTTGTTCCATCCTCCCATCTTCTGCGTGCAGAGTCTGCCCTATCTTCCTCACCGTGCTCTGTCACCGGAGGTGACCTTCGCTGTGAGAAAGGACTGCTTGTTGAAGCCTCAAGAGCTAGTAGTGCTAAGCCTGTGTGCTACCTATAGATGTTTTTTAGCTACCAGTTAACAAGAAAGTTTCCTAAATGCCTAAGCATGTGTTCTATATAGCATTGGGAGAAGGTGTCATTGCAAGCTGTCTAACCTTATCTCTTAATATCTATAACTGTATAATACTTCTCTATTCTGGGCTATAGGGATGTTTTTTCACTGACTATCCGGAGACTGTCGCCCCTCCACTTCAGGAGAGCTCTCAGATTGTCATTGCAGTGAGTGTACATCATATGTGTTGTGGTAGGGGCTGTACACAACATATTCTTCCCTCACATAATCGTACAGACTGTCTGCTGAATGTCGTGAAGCTGTGATCCAAGTAGATGACATCAGAGGTAATGAATACCGTATAATAATTTGTTTAATAAATTCACGGAAAAATTCTTTTTGGTTTTTGGGTACTAAATGACTGAGTCTTTTTTTTCCTAACTGTTTGCAGTGGTGCCTGGTGTTCTAGAGAGCTATGTGTCGACGGAGGTCGAAGGTCACAATGTCTCCGTCTCTGTTGGTTCCATTCCATCAGACGTGTCAGTCCAGACTGGACTATTGCAAGTTAGCACATCAACTCGTGATTGGAATTGTGCACTGTCTAGCTATACATATGCCAAACACTTTATAGGTGCCCTCAGTCTCCCATGCAAGGATTCAATTTTACGCAGCACACAGTGCATGTGTATGTTGTAGAGAGGTTTGACCATAACAAATTCTAACTTTGTTGACTCTGAGCTAATTACATGGAGCCTCCCCAGTTTGTAGGTAACAGTCACTAAGGCTGCCCATGAACCACCACTGTCCCACAAACATGCTAAAACCTATTTAACCTTGTAACTCTTTAGGTGCTGTGTACTATGCCATCTGGGTATTGAGCTATGCTCAGTATATACTGCCTTCAGTCTTGCTTCGTGTGTGTGCAACAGCCCATCAGCTACAGCTGCTGTGCACTAATTATGAGCTTTTGTATTTTAGTGTCTCTGTCTTGCCCAACTCCATGTCACTACAATTAAGAGCTGAGCTTCTAATGTGGACTGTACTTTCACTCATACCATGCACCACAATAAAGAAAATGCAGTGTCGTCATAGAATGAATCTCGCTCTTTCTTTGTTCTGTGTCTTGAAGCTACTCCTATCATTTGGCGAGAACATGTACTTGTACAATAACTAGCACAATGAATGCGTTGCAATTTGGGAAGCACTCGTTTACTCCAATTATAGCGCACGAGAGGGACTCAGCATATAGCGTCTCGATGTATGTTTGAATGATCTCCTGTTCCCCTCCCTCTCTCTCGCACGTAGTAAGGATCTCATCTCTGTGGTTGGTTCAGAATATGCCAGTCCACAGTCAACAACATTAGTGGGCAGTGCTGAATAGAGTCACAATAGAGGAGGGCACGCGGCAGGACAACTGTAGTGATGTCGTCAGCCTGCCAGTTTGAGGGGGGTGGGCTTGTAGGTGAGTCTCGGGGAACATTGCCACCTTTACTGACACCCTGGCTATGGTTTTGAATGTGTATACCAGTCTTCTTAATAAGTCTGAATCTATTCCTTGGCAGTCGTATATAGCATTTGAGCAATGAAGTTAAAAATTTGAATGTAGGTCAGGTACATCCTGTGCTTCTACCTGTGTTTATCTGAAGTGAAAGGACGCTGTAGTTTCCATGGTCTCAGTGTGTGGCTAAATGATATTAACTGTGTAAGGTGTTTGCAGTGAACTGAGTGTGTCAGAGTCCCATTCTGGTGAATCGTACTGCGGAGTCGCAGTTCCCTGGAGACACAATGCCGTCTCTCATTACACTAATGTGGCCCAGGGGTCGAGCATAGCTTGTCATGGTCTCTGGACTGGCCGTGCGTCGGACAAGCGAACACTACACAGCGACAATTCAGTCGACGGATTGCCACTTGCAAATTCTGCTCACTTTGACCTCGCGAAAGTATAGAGTCTGCTAGAGGAACGAGTATGTGACGCTGTGGACCTGGGCAGCGTGTGGAATGGGAAGGGGACGTACTCCTCCTATCCCCCACCCTCATACCCATGGTAATGCAATGTGCCTCTACCACCCGACAGTTGATGGTGTTAGTGGTAATAACACACGATCTCATTTAACATAAGAAACACTGTTAACCAGTCGAGCGCGCTCATGCAGCAGCGAGGAGTTACTGTCGTGTCTGTCTGTCTGTCTGTTACCCAACATCTCACTTCACGAGCCATGAATCGCTGCCACAAAACATTACCAACGTATTCGAGCGTTGGGTACTTGGTCGAGGCGCATGTATATAGGGTTTCTTCCTCATAATGTTTCCTGCACATGAGCAAGTTGTGCCAGAAATCTCTTACATTGTGCTTGAATTTCCGGCACATTCCCCATGCATTATGATATGGGTTTTTTTTATTTGAGAGAGTGTTAATCGTTATAATTGGTGAACAAAGTCAGCACTTTGTCATGCATTCGTTCTCTCCATTACTGTCGTGTAACTTTTTTTATTTTAGAGTGTCCAGAGCCAGAGGACCTGCTCCAACACCAGCAATGATGGTAAATTCTCAACATTCAGCCTCGCTAACATGAAATGTCCTGTGTATTATTCTGACACTATGTTAGTCTGAGCTAATAGAGCAATAATAGAGAAGTTCACTCACGAAACGTCCCTCTTACACCATTCTTTCTCTCTTTCCCTCTCTTCATTTTCCTGCAGGAGGGTCTCTGGTGGTGGCAGTGGGTGCTCTCTCTGCTGCACTAGCAGCTCTCCTCATCTGTTACCTCTCCACACTCTTCTACTGTCTCAGAGCCAACAGGAGAGGTATACATACATCTAGACCACCAACTATAGTGGTCCTATCTGAGTGTTGAGTAAGAGAGGCGTGTCCTTTAGTTCCTTTCCCCCATCTCGCTCCAACATTGCACCTCTTCCCCTTCCAAACCTTGACCATCTCGCTCCAACATTGCACCTCTTCCCCTTCCAAACCTTGACCATTTCGCTCCAACATTGCACCTCTTCCCCTTCCAAACCTTGACCATTTCGCTCCAACATTGCACCTCTTCCCCTTCCAAACCTTGGACCATTCGCTCCAACATTGCACCTCTTCCCCTTCCAAACCTTGACCATTCCGCTCCAACATTGCACCTCTTCCCCTTCCAAACCTTGACCATTCGCTCCAACATTGCACCTCTTCCCCTTCCAAACCTTGATCATTTCGCTCCTCTGCATGCACAGAGATGAACATGCAACACAATTGGTGTAGCTAACTTATACAACGGTCGCACTCATGGCATGTGCAAATATCAGGCCAATGAGAAAGGACGCCAGCATAGATATCTACTTAATGAATCTACATAGTACCATGCTATACACAAACCCTACCCAATACACCAGTGCACCATACATGCTAGTATATGTCCATCTACTAGTGTCCCGGAAGGAGAAGAGGTGGAGGGAGGCGGAGAGACAGAGACTCATGGCTGACAGGGACAGTGTGGGGACTGCTGGCTCTGTCAGTAGAGCCAGTGCTGTGGGTGACAGGAGGAGGTGGAGGAAGTATGGAGAGTCCTCCACTCTAATGGTGAGACTCACGATAACATTCACGATCAAGACGTCCTCACAATAACCAATTATGTACTGTCAAGTGCTTTTCACTTTGCTGTAGTAGTATAACTAGTATTGAACACGCATGTGCAAAAGAATGTGGACAAAGATGATTGGAATAAAGTGACGAGGGTTATGCACTTTCAATTGTTGTCGATTGCTCCCCCCTTTCCTTTTCCACAGACGTTTGTTCCGATGAGAGAGGCACGGGAGGGGGCAGTGGTAGGCAGGAGAGCAGCTGGCTAGAGGCTGTGGAGCTAACACTCACTCCTCACACGTTCACTCTGGCTCTGGGGTAGGCCTGGTGCGTGGTGTGGGGGGCCGGGGTGAGGTACTCCAGAACCCACTGTACACCGAGGAGGACGACGACGAGGAAGAAGGAGAAGGACGAGAAGGAGATGGGGTGGAGATGTTGGCCATGTTGTCTGACATGCAGGCCCTCCCTCCTCCCTCCCCCACTCACTCCTCCGACCTTTAACCTTTTCCATCCAGCCACCCATGAAGTAAACACTGAATGCATTTTATTTTACTCAAACAGTTTTAAGACCTGCATTTTAGGTCAGTTGCATTATTATACAAATTTGAGAGTAAGGGAAAAGTAATTTGAAGGAAACGGAGAGACATGACGCCATGCATGGAAAGGCTAGTTAGACATCTGCCAGATCTGAATGTTGGGTGTGTGCTATATTTCTCCGAAATTTTGACTGCCCACTCATGAAAGTAAATTCGATACAAATAACAGAAAAACTAAGCTAAATCCTTTGCAAAGGACAGTAAAGGGAATCTAGGGATTGTCTGTGTTACAGTTGTAGCTATGTAAATAGAATAGCAGCAGCTATCGGTTGAATTAATTGAAGCTTGCGAGTTTGAGAGCAGACTCCCTGTATTCACACTCTTCCTCTTCATCTGAGACGGTGTTGGTGGCTCCCAATGTTGTTAGCGCGACATCTTCTCTGTTTTCATCTCCATATTCAGCTCCGAATTTGGCCACCCGCCACTGAGGAAACCGATCCTCTTCCTCTCTGTCACGTAGTGCTTCTGGCCTCCTTCCAGTCATAGCCTTCCTCACTCTGTACCACCACGTGACCTGCACAGATTCCCAGGAACACAAGGAAACATATCACCACAAGGACTATGTAGATGTAGGCACGTGGCTCGCTTCCAGTACCAATGCTAGAGACATAGAGATTGGAGGAGGCAAATATGAGTAAGATTGCGAGGTGGAATAGCTCTAGTCCGTTCAGCAGCCTTGTCTTGTATGGTTTGAGTACTGCAGTGAGACCTATCAGTGTAGACGATGAGAGAATGAGTAGGAGGAGGATCAGTTGAGGGCCGGTCGCGGAGCTGGTGTTGTTGGCAATGCTAGAGAACAGGACTATCAGAAACACCCTCGCTAGCAGCAGCATCCCTGTCCAGTGGCGATGGCTGTCTTTGTATGGACCCATGTATGCATCAAACAGAGGCTTGAACCTGTTGTACAGGGAGGACACTCGCCTGAACCTCGATCTCTGTATCCAGGGAGCAGCAGTCAGAGTGACTGTATAGGGTACTCCCAATAGCAGGAGCACTAAGAGTGCTACTAGGAAGAGAATAGTATGTTTGGGCTCAAAATACTTGACATTGCCATCAGCCAGCCACACTACACTATGGTAGCCCAGTGACCCAGTGAGTGTGGTGAAGGAGAAAGCTGTGATGAGGATTCTCAGGATCTTGGTGTAGGAGAGAAGGACTAGAGTGGCCAGAACTGAGACTGTGTTGGCCCCGAGGAGGCGAGTCACTCGTGTGGAGTATTTGCTGGCAATGATTATGGCACCAACCAATGCCAGAATGTAGAGAGGAAACACAAACTGAAGCCATGTTTTGGCATAGGTTGTCAGTCCGTCAAGAAAGCACATGGGAATGCCTACATCCAGGTTCAGCCACGCTATGAAGACATTGAGGAACACAATGACTGCACTGGTATCGGAAGTAGTTGGTGCTAGAAATGTGTTTCTGTTGGCTTGCAAGACGTTGGCAAAGAGAATGAGTCCATTCAGAGTCCCAACTGACACTGTCATGTCCAGTAGAGTCACTAGTGTAACCAGAGCCACGCCCATTAGGATGAAGACAGCGATAGACACGAGGTAGACATTGGAGCATGTCTTACACTCTGATGATCCCAGGATCATGCTGAGACCTTCACGACAGCTGCCACAGAGGACTCCTGATCTCTGGTACTGACATTGAGACTCTGCGGTGATGTTGATGTCTTCTGATTGGCAGTAATCAAAGGGGCAGTGAGGGTGGATGAGGATGGGTGAGTCTGGGTCACTGGGTAGTCCGATCCAGTAGGGGGCAGGTCTCAGAATGAAAGAGGTGCCATTGGAGAAGAAGCAACTGTCAATGTTGTGTTTCTGCAGTATCTGGTGACAGACACATTTCCCCCTCACCAGTTGGAAGCCAACTGGACATGGAAGGAGATCCACCTCCACAAACACTGGGATGTGGAAGAATTCCTCTAATGCTGAGGTGATGGAAACTCCGTTATAAGTTGAGGTGTAGTTATGAACTCCTGTCAGCTTATAAGCAACCACTGAGTTCACATATTCCTGTGATCGTGTGAGTGACAGTGTGTCCACTGCCAGAGCAATCTCCTCTCTGTCTTTCTCTGAAACAATAGAGTACCCCACGTCCTGGCATTCACTCCTTCTTATCTCCTGAACATATTCCAATGTATTTCCAAGTAACTGACCCTCAGATGCATTCCCATTGTCCCTGACAATCACTGAGCCTGATACAGTGCCCAAACCATACCCCACTGTGGCTAGTGACAGGTAAAACCTCTCTCCAGGGTGGATTGTAATCTTTCTCAGGACCTTGTAGCAGTCTGGAATGCCGTTCTCACAAAAACATACTCTGGTGGGGTCGGAGGTGAAATTGGAGAGATCTGAGGAGTCGTTCACTCCATTGTATTGGTAAATTTCTGAGGTATAAGGGAACGGACATCTGTCACAAAAGTAATCTTGACTTGTAGGTATGCAGGCCGACGTCTTATCTCCGTAGATGGCATTACCAGCTTTACCTGCCTTGTTCTGGTTGAAAGTTATTGTGAAAGGTTGACAAGTGTCCGAAGATTTGTCTGGCAGGGCTTGAATAGAACAACCATCAACTTTTTCAACCTCTCCACCACATGTATACAATGCCGTTTTTGGATTTGAGACATATATCGCACCACCTAATTCTTTTGCTTGGTTTCCAGTGAAGTCAACCTTTGCACCAGTGGAGAGGTACACGACAGAGGAAAAGAGAGTCAAAGCTCCGCCATATTCAGCAACATTATCGACGAAGCTTGCTGTGCCTGTGATAAAGATATGACTTTCTATTCCTGCGGTGATTGCCCCCGTCTCTCCTCTGTTACCCACCACCTCTACTCTGCCATTAAACCATACATTTGAACCTGCGACGTTTAGGATTCCATTGTTATTGATAGTGTTGTTAGCTACTATCACCGTCCCTTCCAGGGAAACATTTGTGAAGACAAATGTTAAGAAAGGTGACTCATTGTCACCCAAACCATCATTTCCTGCCACTGTAAGCATTGAATCAGACGAAGTGTTCAGAAATCCACCCGTTATACTGGCCCATCCACCCACTTTACTGTTGGTATAGATTCTGTTTTGTGTAAAATCAATAGAGGAAACATTCTCTATTAAGATTGTTGCCCCATTAGCAATAAATATTGGACCCTTGTTATCCTTCAAGACCAATTTTCCTCCATTCATAAAGATCATAGACTGTTTGAATACAAATGCCGCCTCGCTTCCTACTGAATTGTGGGTTCCAAGCAAAGCTGATCCACCAATAATAAACATCTCGCTGTCAAATAATGCAAGAATGCCTTCTACTTTTATGTTCTCAGTGAAAATCAGCGTTGAACTGTTACTAAGCTGAAGACTGGAATTTAAAAGACTAAAGGCAGGGAGATTTGGAGTTGAACTGTTTCCATGCTTGAGACAAGAATACAGAACCTCAGAGTTCTCTGCAACAAATATATGGCTACTGAATGCACAGATCTCTCCACCATAATATGCAATTTTGCTGCCATGGACGTGAAGATATTGGTATAAGAAGGTGAATAAGCTGTTGTTGATTTTGAGTCTCCCTCTCACCATCGCTCTTCCAAACAATAGGTAAGACTCAGTGCAGTTAATAACATCCACATCCTTCATCATTATGTCAGCATAAGATGACTCTATTCCAGCCGTTGAGTTTGCTATGACAGTCCTCTCAATCAGGAGAGATGCTTGTCCAACTATCTCCACAGACCCGACTCTACTGTGGGAGATGGTACAGTCAATCACTGCCACACTGGGTTTCTCATTGTCCATGAAAAAGAATGGATCCTGAGATGAATCATTGGTTAAAAAATCAACCACTTGCAACGCATATCCTGGAGAATATTCAATGTGAACTGCTGATAGGATTATTTTGCTTGAAATCAGAATTGCAAAAGTGACGTTTGAAAAACTGCAGTGAGTGATTCTTATGCTGGTGAACGTTACATTAGTTGCATTTTCGAGGTTAAAGCCAAAGGCGGACTGTGGGGAGCACTCGATGAGACTGCCACTTTCTCCACCAGATATTGTCAAATTGTACACGTTGACAATGAGGATGCACTCATTACTACCATTTACACTGAATTCCATTCCATTCAATTCGATGTGTCGGTTTGAGCTGATCATATCTTGAAGTTGCCCAAAGTTATCAGGAGAAATATGGCAGGTTTCATCTTCACACAGAGACTGAGATTGTGCAGCATTGCAACCGAGGGTGAGCTGCAAGAGAAGAAGTGTCATTGTAGCCACCACTCCATTTACCACCGCCATCGTGGATATCTGCAGCAAAAGATACTACAGTGTATAACAACTCTTGTCCTGTTCTTATGTAATAAGTAGCGAAGCACACCAAAAACATCAATAACTAAGAGCAAGGACAACATGAAAAACGCCAAAGGAGAAGCTCATTCGCGAGCGTGATCCAGGTAGCCTATGGTCTGAACGGCGCGATATTACGCCCTGCGACTAACCAGCGAGAGAACAGTGAACTCTCGTCAATTCGACGGAACTCGCTGCGCTCTCGTTCCAACGTAAATGGTGTAGGATGGCTGGCTGCTATATCAGAGCGTCGGTAGACGCTCTATATATATATAGGGATGAAATCTCACGTGATCCGCGTACAAAACGCCTCTCAACGTAACGCGCGCGCACGAAGAAAAATTGGAAATGTGCGCGCGCCGCCCCCGGAACGCAATTGGACACGCCCCCTCCGTTTTGAAAAAGAAGCGGTATATACCTTCTGTGGATACCGTTGGCCGTCCAGAGACCATACTATGGACTACCTAATGTGTTTACTATGCTGTTCTATCATCCATGACAACCGTTAGTTACTTGCGCAGCTGCTCTTGCAATACGTATACTACTGCGCAACGGTCAAATGAACATTCCGCGGCAGAGAAGCGCGGGGTACCGGCGTAGTGGAAGCCATAACTCAGTTCAGGAAGCGCTTTCTATTGAATAATGGTAATACAATAGACCAAGTAAGAGTGGAAGTATCCAATAATATAGGGATCTAAATGATACTCATTTTTTGGAGCCAGCTACACACACACAACATACAAGTGTCTGGCAATGGCAGAGGTGCACCGAGTACTCCGCGAGAATGACTCACCATGGCTTCAAAATCACTAGCAATAGTCTAGAGGCCAATACCTAGCTATACATATGCCCCAAGACTTCCTACGTGCCCTCAGTTCCCCACGAGAGAATTCGCTCTTACGCGATTTCGCGATTTTCGTGTCATCATCATCATATTCTTCATCTTCTTCTTCTTCTTCTTCAGACCCGCTAGCTCCTTACCGGAAGCAGTTGAAGCGTTGATTTTTTCACAGAACGTCTCCAAATTTTCCGGAGGTGTGCACGCATGTCAAGCGATCGCTTGTTTCTTGCCGCAAGTCACTACGGTAGACCGTTGAGCTCTTCCACGGTAGTCACTGGACAACGCCATTTTCTGCTAACTCAGCATCAGTGAGCCGCATGCGCCGAGGAGGGCGTTTCCCCAACCAATGCAATGCGCGCGCATTACTAGCATGCGTGAACCAGACTAAGCCAGGATGCCTGCAGAGGAACTCTTATCCCCCAGTGCCTTCTGTAAGTCAGTATACACATTTTTAACTGGCTAGCTTGCGTTTTGCTGCTGATTTGTACGAGGAGCAACTTGGCAGTGTGCGCCGTGTTACGCGGGCCTTGCCCAGCGCCTTCATTGTTTGTCCCCCAGGTTATAGCTATCATTGTAGTCTGATTACTGAAGCCTGCCTATGAAACCACCCCACCATATGTGCCACCATCGTTGTTGGAGACACTACGCATACACCCTGCTTCAGGTAGGAGCAGCCCATTAGCTTCTGCTTTCAACAGTTATCTCACACCCCATGAACATAAGAGTGACTGAAAATGCAGTGTTGTCTTATACATGAAAAATAGTGGAAACAAGTGGAAAAATCATTTCTTCAAAATGAAGGGGGATATAGGGATGGCTTGAAGCACCAAAAAGGAAGAAACAAGGGGTCATTACACAGCAAAGATGCACAAGGCTACATGACACCATCCCTATATCTTTGTATTATTGTTCTCAAGTAAAGTTTAATATGAGTCAAAGATATAGGGATGGTGTCATGTAGCCTTGTGCATCTTTGCTGTGTAATGACCCCTTGTTTCTTCCTTTTTGGTGCTTCAAGCCATCCCTATATCCCCCTTCATTTTGAAGAAATGATTTTTCCACTTGTATCATATACTCCCGCTCGGCAAAAATTTGATGTGCACCATACGCATGCGTCAAAACATGGCAGGTGCTCGCGCGCGATCGCTGCGATGCGCAGTCAGTCCTGTCCCGGATCCGGCTGTTTCGATTGCGCACATAAAATTGTACGATGACGTAATTCTGAAATTTTGAAATTGTCGCCGACGCTTGTTCCGTTCCGTACCGTTTCTAGGCAGCTCTTTCGGTGTCGTTTCTGCTGAGTTGGCAGTGCTGGCTTTGTGGACCAGACTTAACGTGGACGGCCTTACGTTCCCAAGTAGTATGGTCGATTCAAGCGGTCTTACTGTTCACTTGCGAATTTTCTCAGAAACGGATTTGCGCCAGAAACAAGGCGCCGTTCTGTGTTAGAGAGACCACTCTGGCTATCTGAGAATGTGTGGAATGTAACAAAGGAAGCTTTGCGGCCCAACGAAGGCCCCAAGCGGCCAAGCTTCCTTCCCGAAACCGCGACTAACTTCCGAATCTTGCGCGAGCCCCGTAACTAAGGTAACGGTAATACCGTAATGTTCTAAATTAGCGCTAAATGTCCTACGTGAAAAACAGCACGCACACACCGGGTGGGCCGTACAATAAACCCCCCTGTGCAAACCCTCGGCTAACTGCGCATGCGTGACACCGCTAATTATTGATGGGCTAGGCAATTAGTATGCGTCTACTCGTGGTCTCTAACGCTAGAAGCTCGGATACACGCCCTTCGTTGTGACTTCTTGAGCCCCCAAGGTACACAGAGCGAGCGGATCAGGTCGCAGTAAGAATTAGCGTCGACACACACAGACACGCAACCATCGCTGCGCATGCGCGCCGATGGTTAAAGCACAAAAACATAAACACTGAGCTACGTTCTTCAGGAGCGTTAGAAGAATGTCGGCTCTTTTATATAAAAGGTACTCTGTATGCCTTATCTAACTCACAGGAGATTCCAAGAAACAAGACATTATGTATAGTGGATGGTGCTTGGAAATGGAGGGAGTATGTTTTGCCTAGAGTATCTAAATACACATTCTTGGGTGTTGATTTTACTAATACCGGTGCATGGGATGTGCATATCAAGAATGTGTTAGACAATGGTAGAAGGAAGGTTAATCAGTTGCATAGTGTAATTAGTAATAGGGATATTAATTTGAGTGCTCGCAGGTTGTTGTTGCTGGCGGTGGTTAGGCCAACTTTAGAGTATGGGAGTGAGGTGTGGGAAGCCAATAAGACTCAGGCAGCTGCGTTAGAGTCCGTGATGCTGAGAGGAGCTAAGCATATCCTTGGGTGTTCGTCTAAGACATGTAATGAAGCCGTTAGGGGGGATATGGGGCTTGATACGTTACAAGGGCGTAGGGATAAGAATAAGTTGAAGTGGTGGTATAAGTTAGCGGCATTGCCAGGCAATAGATATCCGAAGAAGCTTTTTAACCAGAAATGGAATTTTATGCCACGGAGAGGCAGGCAGAGGAAGTGTTGGAGTAAGGTCATTGATGATCTCTTTTCGTCATTAGGTCTTGACAAGGCAGAGTGGTTGCATGATATTCAAAATGGGGATTGCTCCTTGAAGGGCTTTCTGTCTATAGTAGGGGACAGTATTAATGAGAGGGAGATTAGAAAGTTTGAAGAGGGGCTAAATAGCAAAGTAAAGCTGTTATTGTATAAGACATTTAACAAGGTGGTAGAGTTCAAAAAGTACTTGCATGGGAAAAGTGATGCTGGGTCTAGATTAATGTTTAAGTTCAGGTCAGGCACGCATGGGCTAAATGAGGAACTGGGTAGGCATAGGGGGAGGGAGGGGGATGAAGGAGTGCCTGTTGTGTGATGATGAGTGTGAAAGTGTGAGTCATGTGTTGTGGGAGTGTCCAGCATATAGTAGTCTTAGGAGCAATTTCTTAGTTGCCCTGCAGGAGAAGCTTGGGGATGATGGGTTTGAGCATTTCCAGTCGCTTGATAGTTTCAGGAAAGCATCCTTTATATTGGGTAGTGAGCTGTGGGAGGATAAATTTGGTTCTTTGCTTCGCCTTGTTAAAGATTTTATTTCGGATGTTTGGGAGCTAAGAAAGGTTAGGTTATATGGCGATAATCCCAGCGTACAACAGACCCAGTCTCAGATTGCGTCTGGGGAGCTGCAGGGTGTCACTGGTGGAAGGGGTGAGTTGAGGTGTCTGGGAGGTGAGACAGACACCGCATGTTCATATGGTGTATGTTCGTTTGTTAACGGTTCCGCCCATTGCTCTGGGTGCGTGGTCTATGGCCCTAGTGCTATGGCAGCCACCTGAGTATTATTATTATTATTATGTATAGTGGAACCTCTGAGCAAGGCTGCTATGGGGCCAACGATGTTGTCAGCTTTTGTCCGGGAGTTTTAGCTCAGTACCTAGTGCACTGGACTTCCAGTCTGAGTTTGACTCTAGAAAGAAGAAAAGTTCTTTCTCTCCTGACCTGAGTTTCTATCATTTAGCTACCAGGTTAACAAGGAATATTATTATTAAGCGTGCAGTTTTAGCATTGGGGAAGGGCAAGGAGATGTCCTTGCAAGCTTTCTCTATAATTGTACTCTTTACTCTGGGGCTATAGGGATGTTTTCACTGGACTATCCAGACACAGTCACTCTCCACTTCAGGGAAAGCTCTCAGATTGTCATTGCAGTGAGTGTACATCATAATTATGTGTGTGTAGGGACATGCTTACAGTGTATACCCAATCCTTCTAGCTCTACATATGCCAATAGACTTTAAACGTGCTCTCAGTTTTCCACGTAAGAATTCACAAGGAACACAGCGAACACAGCGTTAACATGTAGTTTCTCTGAAGTGCATGTGTATGTTGTAGAGAGGTTGACCATAAACAAATTATAACTTGTTGACCTCTGAGCTAACTACCATGGAGCCTCCCCCAGCTTGTAGGTAACATCACTAAAGCCTGCCCATAAAACTAGATCTGTCCACAAACATGCTACAACCAAATTATGGCAACTCTTTTACATGTGGCTCTGTACTATGTCATCTGTGTATTGAGCTATGCCACAGTATATACTGCCCTTCAGTCTTGCTTGTGTGTCAACAGCTACAGCTCTGTGCACTAATTACCTATCACCCACCCTCTACCCATGTACCCAATGTGCCTCTCCGCCCAAAGCCAGCTTGGTCATCTGAATGCGGGACTTTCCTTTATTTGGATGTGACGGCCACTCCATATACCGCAGTGTTCCAAGTCATTCCAAAGTATATATGCACAAAAATTCACGCTCGCTTCACTAGCCAATAATGCGTTGCATTCGTTCTCTCCATACTATCGTGTAACTTTTTAAAATATTTTCCTCTCTTTTGAGCAGAGTGTCCAGAGCCCAGTCCAAGTACATTGTGTAAAGAGCAAGAGAGTGTGTTCATGTACCATGTGCAGCATTAACACCGTGTAGTTTTGTTGCCCCTTTTTCCACAGACGTATGTTCCAGACGAAGAAGACACAACAGTTTTAAGACCTGCATTTTAGGTCAATTGCATTATTATACAAATTTGAGAGTAAGGGAAAAGTAATTTGAAGGAAATGGAGAGACATGTCATGCTGTAGTGGTATCTGTGGCTGTTAGTTTGGGTGTCAGAGGTTGTTGGGGAGAGGGTGGAGGGGGTGTGGTCAAATCAGTGACATCATCACCAGTCACATGACTATCGGGAGTGGTCACACGATCTGTGGTGTTACGAATGTCGGCTGTTTCATTGCCACCACCAGTAGATGGTCCACTTTCTTTGTTGGTCACATGATCCTCAGCATTGGTCACATGATCTTCAGTGTTAGTCACATGATCTTTAGCGTCGATTACATTATCATCAACCTCAGTCACATGATCCAAGATGGCATTCACATGATCATGGGCTATTTGCTCCAATTCTGCAAACACCTCGGGGCAGAGAGGCTGGAGTGGGGTTGCTATGGCAGCGACATCAAGCTCCTCCCACTCTAACAAGGTGTGGGAGGAGAGAGGGGGTGTGTGGTGTGAGGAGAGGGGAGTGGTGAGTGTGAGGTTTGTGAGGGTGGGTTTGGTGAAGAGGGAGGAGAAGCATTTGGCGACGAAGGGGAGGAAGTGATGGACAGTCACTCTCACCAGCTGCTGAAACGACGTCTCTTCCTCGGAGGTCAAAGGTCCTCCTCCCCTCCTGTGTGATTGGAACATATAGAGTGGACTCTATTCAATGTCTTAGTGGGGCCCCGATGGGGCCCCGATCACACTCTGATATTGTGCCTTAATTTTGTTGTTTCACTTGTATCTCGCTCCACATTGGGCCTTTCTCCTATCTCACTGCGAAACTGGCCCCCATCCCACTCACATCTCTTCCCCCCATCCCACTTCAACATTGGATCTCTTCCTTCCCCTATCTCGCCTAATCAGATCTTTCCTCCCTATCTCACTCAGAGAAATTTGCCACTTCTCCTACGTATCTCATTCTGTAATTACATAATGTCTTTCCCCATACACACTGCACCACACGTGAGGTTTTCTCTCTACAATTTATAGCATTCCTTATTCTCTTACCACAGAACCACGTGGAGGGGTGTGCTTTATTTAGAGTCATGTTTCACTGCTACACAGTTAATCTTGCTCTGACACATTGGCTGGAAGCTCACCTGTGTAGCTCGGCGATGTCATGTACGGTGGAGTCCAGAAGTCTCCTCGTCTCTCTGGCCAGCTCATGTCCCACTGCCACTGGCGCACACTGCCGCACCTCATTCAGTCCCCCCAGAATCCCGTTGGTCAGCCCGGCCAGCGGAGGATGGTCCAGAGACAGGTGGGCGGAGTCAGCGAGGGACCCAGGGAGGGGGGCGGGGCTAAAGATGATGTCGTTCTAGTGAGACTGGCCAGCGAGAGCTGCTTCATTGACTCATGGAAACTGGAGTGAGAGGGAGAGGGGAGAGGGAATCTCGACCATCAGGGGTTTCCAAGCTGTACTTGAAATGTTGTTGAGTAACAATGGCTGTGTTATTGGAAGCTACACTACGCGACAACAAACTGCAAAAATTAGTCTTTTCACTGACTTTCAGCTCACAACATACAGTGTGTGTGCAGGATTATGGCAGACTAGTCAATACTCTCATGCAGCGTAAACTGCGCATTGTTCCTGAACCGCCTATAATGGGAGACCCCCGGGATTAGCTATAATTTTGTGAGACTAGTAGGGCTGGTGAAAGTATCGCAAATGGTAATGGTTTCTGAGAAAGGACCACACACACACACACAGAGAGTGACGGCGCACAACAGAGAGAGTGACGGTGCACAACAGAGAGAGTGACGGCGCACAACAGAGAGAGATAATATTATTATATCGTACCGGTGTTTGGCAGAGCGGAGGGCCCTCTGGTAGACGTCGACAGTCACTCTCACAAACACGGGGACGATGAGAGGTCTGAAGTCGGCTCCGATGCGACTGAACGAGAGTCCAAAGTACATGGACTGAGAGAGGAGGGAGTCTGTCCGGCCAGACACCCCGCGGCCCAGGTCCCATTCCAACACCTTCAGAAACTCATTCACCTGTCACAACAGCAATGAAATCAATAAACTATTCAATTGGAGACCACAATTCCATATCTTTGAAGGAAAGAGATTTATAGGTATATTGGAAGCAACAAGACAGGCAATATCAAACCTTACAATTGCCTAAAGTTTCTGGTAATGGCACAGAAATAAACTGGAGAAGCAGTTTAGCTATAGGGATGTTGGCTGACCTTTGACCCAAGCCATGTGTAGAAGAGAGCTCCGTTGACGTGGGTGGGCGTGGTCAGGGAGGAATGGTAGGCGGAGTCATCGTCGGGGAAGATGGCCCGGTACTGTGTGAGGATGTCAAAGAGATGAACTCTGCTGACTTCTATAGTCCTGGTCAGGTGATGGTAGGCTGTGGGTTTGAGCAAAGACAAATTAGTCTAGTTATAGAGACAATCTAAGCAAAGACTTATAGACAAAATCGTTGCCCCCATGGTTTCCCTTGTTTGGAGGTTCCACTGTACTATATGTACTACTAGCTCACTAGTGATGGAGGAACTTACGGTCGTCTCGAGGGATTGCCGAGAGTACAGAGGTCAACCAGGTGTCCCTGGCCTGGAGGAACCGGAGTCGGAGTTCTGCGGGGGAGAAACACTCCATCCTCCGGAGGAACCCCACGGCACGGAGACAGGCGGGCAGCTGTATGGAGGCTCTAAGACTGGCCAGGAGCTGACTCTGCATGAGGCTCATCGACCTCTCCACATCTTCCCAGATACCCTGACCAGCAACATGGCACACACAACAAGACGTATGTGTAACTATTGACGTGCAAATACAGTGGAACCTCTATTCCAAATAAAGCACATCTTTCTATAACACTAGATTTGGTCCTCATATATTGTTGTGTATGTATAGCTCTGTATGTATAGCTCTGTATGTATAGCTCTGTATGAAGGACAATTTTCATGGTCCAACGTGTCCCTTACGCAGAGGTTCCACTGTAGCAAATACTATTTTGAGGGATGAACACTTTGTTTTTCTTGATAATAATATAGTTTCCTTTGCAAACGCTTGGGGAACATCAATGAAAAGGTTTTCTAATTTCTTTCAAAATTTTTCAGCTGTACTCAGGAAGCGTAGTAAACACGCGCGTAAGCTGGACGGATCTTTAACAAAATACGAAATGCTCTAGCATTAGTACACTAGCTGGCTGTCTGCCATTTCGTATATACACAGTGGATGATCGTCAATAGAGTCCATATACCTTGACAATAGGCAAGTGGCCGTGCTTCCTCTCCATATGTCTGACATGGGAACACAGGTCAAGGGCCTCCTCATAGTACCCATTACGAACACACGTATCAACAACCTGCATACAAACCAGAACAGCGACTGAAAAGTCACTGTATTTGTCGTAAGAACGAAAATGTAAATTTTTGTTTTGAGAGGCACCGTTAAAGATTTCTCTGGAAAAATGTGCGGGCGGGTATTAATATGTAGAAGAATCTCTGTCAATTATATATGTATAATATACAGTGGAACCTCCAAATAAGGGACACTATGGGGCCAACGATTTTGTCCCTTGTAGAGAGCTGGTCCCTATCTCGGAGGTCAAATAATACACTAAAATATTAGCATGGGGTTGAAACAAGTGTCCTTTGTAGAGAGGTCGTCCCTATCTCAGAGGTCAAATAATACACTAAAGTATTAGCATGGGGTTGAAACAAGTGTCCTTTGTAGAGAGGTGGTCCCTATCTCGGAGGTCAAATAATACACTAAAATATTAGCATGGGGTTGAAACAAGTGTCCTTTGTAGAGAGGTCGTCCCTATCTCAGAGGTCAAATAATACACTAAAGTATTAGCATGGGGTTGAAACAAGTGTCCTTTGTAGAGAGGTCGTCCCTATCTCAGAGGTCAAATAATACACTAAAGTATTAGCATGGGGTTGAAACAAGTGTCCTTTGTAGAGAGGTCGTCCCTATCCCAGAGGCTCCCTCATCGGAGGTTCCACTGTATACAGGTATGTAGCTATGTACCTGTGGGATCTCCAGGACCTCCAGTAGTTGAGAGTGCCGCGAGAGAGCCAGTGACATCTGCTGACGACTTGAGAGAGAAGGAGAAGAGAACGAGGATGAGGAGAGAGGAGAGAAAGAGGAAGAGGGACGAAGAGAAGGCAGGAAGAGAGAGAGAGAGAGAGTAACAGACCTGGAGTTGACCTGCTGGGCTGAGGAGGAGAACTGCTGACAGGCCTCCAGGAAACCTGGCAGCCTCTCCAGCAACTGCTCCACATGTCTCTCCACTGACACAAACTACACAGACAGAGGTGTAGTAGTCATTACAACATTATGTACAGTGGAACCAATCCCTCTAATTTGGACACCAATGAGAGTGTACATTCTTTAGAGTGGTGTTCTTATTTCAGGAGTTACAAGAGCTGTTGTTAGGGGAAAAGGTGTCCTTATTAGTCGTTTTCCCATTTCGGGTGTCGAGTCCCACTCTACCCCAGTTCTTCAGGTAATAATTCATTGTAATTGTCTCTTTTTCCACCAGACCTGTTCCCTTAGCCTCACTCCAAATACTGAGAAGTTGCTGGCAGTCAGTATTGTAAGTAGCATTAAAGAGCCACTCACGTCTGTGAAGACAGTCTGAGAGCACTCGGCCGTCTCTATGAAAGTCTTGTAGTTGTTGAAGGCCAGTCTCTGAGTGGAGCCCAACACACATCTCCTCTCTTCCTCCAACCTCTCCGGCTCCAACTCTGTGAGAGGAGACACACCACACCGTTTATGGGGTGAACTGACGGATGGAGTATATACAATGATGTACATACATGGTAAAGCAAGGCATTAGGAGGTGGCTAACTCACGGAGCTTCTCGGCCGAGAGAGAACTGAGTTGAGAGAGGTACTGGACGAAACCTGGCTCCGTCTTCCAATCATCTGCGGAGAGAAACATGCACAACAGCCTGAATCTAAAGCTGTTGCGTGGCATTTCCCACATAGGGACACACACGAGAGTAGATTAGTCACACACAGGCTACTTGGTGGTGATAGACACCTTAATGCGAAGGTTATCACCTGGAAACTGGTCGTGGAAGAGGCTCCAGTACAAAGCCACGTCGTCCCCCATTATTCCAATTGATGCACACCACGCGCATGCGCTAAAATGGAACCGAACGATGATCAATAATCAGAGCACACGTACACATGTATACACAGAAACGTGGGGATTAGGTGATTGCGCAAGTCATTCCTATGCACACACATACAATACACATACATACATACATACAGTGAAAAATCAAATTCATAATCTACCAACTAAGACACACAGTACTATTACAAGCATTCACAATGCAAAAAACAGGAAGCAAAAATGCAGTGATTATGCAAGTTGTGTGGCTGAAACGACGCCATGCGTGTGTAACACAGGGACAAACTAAGACACATCACAGTGGGACAAAACCAGGGATGATGGATGAACAGTCGTTGAGACTGCACCTGAAGTAATTGTAATAGGGGCACCCCCTCGTTAGATGCGGCCGCCAAACTCCATAAGGATTCCCTTGGCAATGTGGAAGTCGTTTCTGGCGATTGAGAGGGCGCGGACCACGTCGCTTCGCGAGTAGCCCAAGGTGACCAGATCCATGATGGAGTCCTCTCGACATTGCCCACGCTGGGCTGGCGGGTTTGACGAGGGGGGTGGTGCCCCCCTCGTGGTGGGTTCCGGGGGAACCTGCTGCTGTGGCGGCTGTTGTGGAGGGACGGGGGAGGACCCTCCGTTAGCCCTGGCATAACGGGGAGGGAGAGGAGGGTAGCTGTTGGAGAGTGCATCCTGCGAGGTGGAGGAGGATGAAGCGGGAGCGGTGGGAGGGGAGCGTTGGGGAACGGGGGGAGAGGAGGAAGAAGGGGGTGGGAGAGGGGGGAGGGGCATGTCCATTCTACCTCCGGCTGACCTGGTCTCTGTCGGCAGTGGTGGTAGTGGCATATCAGGTCGAGCCGTTCCCTTACCTGCGGGGGCAAAAGCAAACACAGCTACGTATTAACGCAACAAAGAAAGTTTACCATGGGACCTAGAGCAAGCAAAGCATTGCCTAAAAACGGTGACCACAGCTGGAGAGGGAGAGGCACAACCAGAAACACACATCCTCAAATCAACACCACACTGCTTTGATAAGTGGATGCAATGAGGATGTGCGGACTAACTACACAACCTTAACACACATGTTGACTTATGTCGTACTTGTACATGGTGGTGGCAAACATTCACCACAAAGAGGGGAAACTTTGCATGAGAAAACCTAGCCGTTAAAACAGTAATTCGAAGAGAAAATGACTGTACAACTGGTCTCTACAACCCGTGCAGACGTTCTCGAATCATAATATTAAAGGGGAATTTTCTGCTTCAAAAGCTCTCGTGTATTTAAGTGGTATATACAGTGTGCTACCCACTGCTCCTATAGAAGCAATACTAACCTGCTGCATGCGAGGCAGCCCTGATATCGTGTCCATCCTCCCCTCCCTCTCTCTTCCCCGGCGAGGACTTCTCCCCCGGGGGGCGCCCTCCAGCAACGGGGAAATTAGCGAGAGCCGTGGGAAAATCATAGGGGCCGAACCCTCTGGGGATATCTTCCTCACCGGTGGGTGTGGTAATCTCGTCTCTCTCCTCTGCTTGTCCGGGGAGATCATCCCCGCTGGAGTAAGGATCGACCTCTGGCTGTCCGTAAAGAGTGGGGCCTTTGGTACGCAGGAACTGCGAAGTGTCCATGTAGGCCGATCCTCCAGTGCAGTCATCGTCCCCTGTTGTGTCTGCGTGTCCTCCCTCCTCCTTACCACACCAACTCCTCCACTCTTTCTCCTATTTACCCTCATCTCGTCTCCGCCACACACGAAGTCGAGGACGAACGACACGGACGAGTGGGCGGCGGTCGGTCGTAAAATGCCTCCGGATCGTCCCAAGCCGCATTGCTTCCGTCGCTAAACGGGTCGACCAGTTCCTCGATGTCGTGCCCCGGATTCACTGTAGCTTCTTTCAGTGTATCTGTCTCAGGGGCAGGAGGGAATTCCTGAGGGATAACGTGAGCGTAGTTTGTCTTTGTAACTCGGGCCCGAGGGATGGGGTGACTATTACTTGGTGGAGGGAACCTCAGTTCAGAGTAGTTGAGTTCGGAATTGACCAATACTGAGCGGGGCCGGCTGCAGGGGCTGTTTGAACGACGGACGTCGTTACGAGGGTTGATGACGGGGGGCTGGTCGTGGGTCGGGGAGGACGGGGCGGAGTGGCTCTCGGAATGGGTGGAGTCAGTGTCATTGAGGGGCTTGGAGAGGAAGGACGGGGGGTTGAGTGAGGGAGAGGCTTTCACTGGCGGGTGACTGACTTGCCTGCAAACACACACACACATTGATAAATCACACTACTAGTAGAGCATTGGTGTGTGTGCTGAACATGCAACACACACACACATTGGTACAGTAGCACAGCTATAGTACAGTTCTCGTTAAGATAATGAGCCTCCGTCTGATGTGGCTGACTTCAGTTCTGGCTCATACGAAAAGGAGGAACCCCTGCCTCTTTCAGTGCCACCACATTTGCTTGGCGTCGATTGAGAAACTAAACACGTCATGTGTGCTCAGACAAAATACCTATACACATGTACATCTCGTACCTACAAGTATTGCACATTGTATGTACCTGTGTAGCATTTCAATAGACAAGCACTTCACTACGTACAATGCACAGGGGCAATAAAGCTCTCTTGTGGTGTGTACCTGCGAGCAGGGAGAGGGGGAGGGTCAGCGGTGGTAGAGGAGGAGGAAGAGGAGGGGGCGATGGGCTGAGAGTGAGAGGCTCCATGAGATGCCTGCATCTTTCTTAGATCCCTCAGAGTCCATCGCTCCGGTCGCTGAGGAAGGAGGGAGGGAGAGGGGTTTGGGGAAGAGATCGAGGGGAGTTAGAACAAGGAAGGAACTGTAAACAAGGGCAAGAGAGTAAACACGAGGAGGTGTGGGAGAGAGGGTGGGAAGTTGGGAGACAAGACTGGAAAAAAGGAGGCAATTTTCCCTGAATGGTGGGCCACAAAAGCAACAATGCCGTGTGGGAAAACATTGGACACTGGCACGCGGCCTCGCCACACTTCTGAACGCATACAATCCTTTGTTGAGAGCGGAAACACAGCAAACGGTGCACAATCGAGCTTGAAATGACGTACAGTAAATACACAGAGGACTAATAGAGTGGATGAACCTTACACTTATCTGGAGTTGAGTTCATTTCTACATAATGTGCAAGGTCCCAAATAGCACAGCTATACTAACACTGTACTCACAATCCCCATCTAATGTGTCAGTAAAAACCCTGCCATAAACTCTTCACAGCGACAATCTCACCTCACACTCAGAGGCATCCTCGTCCGATTGTGTCGAGGCCAGCGACTTGGCGGGCGGGACCGACAGATGAGGCCCGCCCACTCCGCCCGTCATCGCACCCGCCAGACTGTACGTTCCCAGAGGAGACTGGCTCTTGGGGACGGCGAGTGCAGCCTCTCTCTCCGCCCTCTCCCTCTCCGCCCGCTCCGCCCGACGACCAAACGGGTCGATGATGACTGTTTCGGTGTCCCGTATCTCCTCGCGACAGAAGGGGCAGTCGGTGCGGCCGCTGTCCATCCAGTTGTGGAGACAGACGTGGCAGATGAGGTGACCGCACGGCTCCAGTTTCATGTCCTTGTCGTTCTCGGCACAGATCTTGCACATCTGGAAGGTGGAGCCCATCTCACAGTATATCTCGTACTGTTCCTCTCGACACCTGCAGGCACATGGGGAGACGAGTTGGCTAGCTACGTACATATATCACACACTACGTACATAGGGAATGTCTCGACAACTTGGTAACGAGAATGGCAAGGCAAGGCAAACAAGTCAACTACACCCAGGACAGCTCTTTCCTTTCAAAAGAAGAAGAGCTGCCTTTAGGTGGGATTCAAACCCACGACACTCTGCAGTCTAGGCGAGCACTCTACCATGCATGATTGACCCTTTTCCCGCGCTTGGGTTGAGCGTCACACAGAAGAGCAAAACTAACTCGATGCAGTACAGCAAGTTCCCATAAACCGCACCCAGTCTATGACTGTTTGGTATCTCCACTCTCTCGTGATGTAGAGTTCATTTGTTATTTTTGTTTTGATGTGTGTTACGGCACCCGTTTACAGAGGATGTAATGTTGACCCATTATTTCTCTTTCTTGACTATACAACGTTGTTTAGATTTGCAAAAGGCTCTAGCATAAACTGTTTCTGTAATCGTCAGAGTGAAATTTCCTATTTCCTGTTTAGGCCTCTTGTAGCCAGCCGAGAGAGGTGTCGCTCCACTAGTGTGTACACATACACACTACATTCATCAGCTAGCTTCTGTTCCACGTCTGTTCCAGTTGAATGGCTGTCTGACTTCCACTGTGCAACCACATCCACACACACACACACACACACACATTTAGGGGGAGGGGGGAGCAATCGAAATGAAGGGGGTCACTCATAACTCACTATGAGTCCTAGTTCAGAGGGGAAAACAATTTTCAGGATGAAAAATTTGCTCCCCTTGTCCCCTCCTAAAAACACTGCACACGTACACACAGGTGCAGACAGGTACTTGGGGAAAATGCTGCTATGCAAGTGGGCATGTACGGAGAAAATATGACCTCCAACTTTACATGCGAAACTCAATATGTGAAAATTCCTCATGGTGTGTACAACAGGCATGGTAAGTCTCATGTTAATAAGAGGGTTGTTCTTTGTATAATTATTCTGAGAAAGTGAACATCAGGACACATTATGACAGGAAAGAGAAACAAGGCAAGGCAGAGGGAGTATTGCATTAGGGAGTGCCTCAGGAAATTAGTCCACCTGCCAGCTGACACTCTCCTTTCGGCCCTCAGCTGCAGTTGCTAGTAGCTAGTAGGGTGTACATGACCAGTGCTGTATAAATGACTTATGGGTGAGCCTCTATTGTTTAGGATAGTAAGAGCTTGTTAATGGGAGGGTCACACCCACTACTGTGTGCAGCACAGACAGGCATTGTGTGTTCCAATGGACTAAGTTCTATTGCAGCGGTATGCATGTACCACACATGTGCATTCTTGACATGTGTGGTACTACATGTACAGTTGGTACTAATGTACAGGGTAAGGGTATTGTGATTGGACTGAGTCCAGTGTCAAAGACGGGAGGAGACAAAGGCCGACATACAGCCCCAGGTCTGGGCGAGGAGCCATTCCAATAGCACACCTCCGCCTTTGACTGTGAGCTGTATAACTAGTACATGGATGGGAGTATTTATCACAATGTTCTCAATGCCCTTACTTGGTCAATGACTGGATATTAATGTAAATGATAATGAGCACATATTGATTGTGCCATCAGATAAGTGGTAATCAAAATTCCAGACTGTTCTTAGACACAAAACGGCAGGAATACAGGTGTATTTTATTTTACTGCATTCCACATCTCCCCTCTCCCCCCATGAACCCTACATACATACATACTACAACCTACTCCATTGGTAGTCATTAGGCAGTGCCACCTCTTCGACAGCAATAAGGACACAAATGGGCAAGGACTGGTTGTGTACATTTACAGCTGAAGATGCACGTAGTACATAACATATATATATGTACCTTGATGTGTCTCTCTTCAGTTGGTGACAGAATCTCAGACAGGTTCACGTTCTGGTCCTCTCCATTAGGATACAGATAGCTGCAGACGTGTGTGCGCGCGTGTGTGTGTGTTTGAGATTTGAACATTATGTAATGTACGGTGCTGAGCTAGCTACACATATTATACATATGTATGTACATACATGTGTGTGCACGAATGGTGTGTTTGAAATTGAATATTAGACAGTGTATGTGTATTGTGCATGGCTGTACATATGTTCCTCAGCCAGGCTACATACATTATGTAGGGAGCAAACGCATGTGTTTGAAATTGAATATTAGACAGTGTATGTGTATTGTGCATGGCTGTACATATGTTCCTCAGCCAGGAAGCTACATACATTATGTAGGGAGCAAACGCATGTGTTTGAAATTGAATATTAAGACAGTGTATGTGTATTGTGCATGGCTGTACATATGTTCCTCAGCCAGGAAGCTATGTATATACATTATGTGGGGAACAAACCAAACAGAACAGAGAAAGGGAAACAGGGTGTAACGAGTTGTTTGTTAACACTGAGAATGTTTCCGGAGGGAGGGAAGCTGGGGGAATTGTCAACAACCCAACTCCGGTGGGGAAACACTTACCTGTCGTCCAACACGGACGTGATCTCACTAGAGGTATACACTGACCCGGGCCCCATACACAAGAGTGGCCTGACCCACTTGTTTCCTGTACACTACATCAGTAGCGTGGCATGTGAGGTTTAGCTGTGGACACTTGTGTAGGGACACATGCAGTGGGGTGTGTACTGAGCCTATTAAGCACGAGTGCCTGTTTTACTTCCTTTCTATATACCCTCTACCACTTACACTTACACTTCTCCCTCATCTCCCACTCATGTACACGTTGGACACCCTAACTGAACTACTCCCCCCTTCTCCCACTTCTTCTCACATCGATCTTCTCAATCAAGCTCATATACATACCCTTCAGGAAATTAGTGATCCAAGAAGTTAGCTAAAAAGTCTCCCTTGAGGAGAGGTCAGGGGTCAGGCATGACCATGTGGTCTGGAGCTGTTGATACAGCGGCTCATTATCTAACTCCCTGTGCAAGCAAGTGCATTGCGGATATTTTTACTACCTGCAGAGAACTTAGCACAGGGGAAGCCCAGAGCCTCTATATATATATAAAGATGTCCACACATCTCCTGTAATTAGCATAGCTAACCGTGCTGAATTTGTCACGGTGTCCGGTTTAGTCATACTCTATTGCACACACACCGTAGGAATTATGTGAACCATCAATAAATACCTGTTTTACTAAGTGAAAAGCTGAGGGCTACATGACACCTTTGATCTGGTTAGCACGCACTTTAGGTACTTCTCAGGAACACTGCTAAATAAGCATAAGCATTAGTATGCAAACCTGGGCATTTTCAGGCCCTAACAAAAACATTCACAACGGCCTTGGACGTGTAAGGGCTGCCTTAACCTTCCTTTCACCACGCCTAAATACACCGTGATGTATGATATCACTCTGTAGTTGGTATTACATGTAGGTGTGGTTCAGACCACTGAGGTTAGCTTCATTGCTCCAACACTTTGCAGAGTGGAGGAGAGGAAGAACATAGAGTAGGCAGAGGAGGTGTGCGTGTGCTCACAATCTCTCCCTACTGCCGTCAATGAGGGCCTGACAGAGACTCTTGTTCTGAGGGATGGTCTGAAGAATGGTGCCCTCCTGGGTCACGTAGCCTATGGCCCACTGGCCCAGTCGCGTGCAGCTGAGTCGGAATATGTACCTGCATCATGGACATATGGACATGTGACACACACACACACACACACACACTGAGATACTCATTTGCACCTTGTGGTGGTAACCGGTTTACTTCTCAAAATATACACACTTTCATGTGCAGGAAAACACAATACATTCACACCTAGTATTTGTATCCTGTGGGGCTGTTAGTTTGCCCCATGTGTTTCCATATAGTGTGTCCTGTTCAATGACACTGAACAATAGGAGTTTCATAAACACCTGTTGTCTGCATACTAGCCACACACATGACATACACATATCCCACAGAATAGCAGTTGTCACACTTTTCAGTAGCAGGCCGCCATGCGCAAAACTTATACACATCAGTAGCAGTGTGTATGATGTCACTTACATTCCCCAGTGGGGAAATGTGGACGCTGTCTCTCAATTACACCAGCAAATGACAGGGAATTACTCTAATTTGCTCCTCTTGCACTACAGCACGCTCCCAATAAGATGTCAATATCGGAGGTGCCGCGAGCCATTATTATAGGAGTATTATACCAAACACAGAGTTGTATGTATTCGTATTTTGGTAGTGACAATTTCCCAGATCTCCGGTGTTCAAGTAGGTATATACGACAGACTTTTTTTTGTCTTCCAACCATTATGGCATATCAGAAGCTCTTGATGGACAAAATTTAGTAGCAAACAAACACCTCGCAGTGCAAACTGCAGATTTCTTGTCTCCAGCATACAGTGGAACTAGGATATGTGCACCTTTTTTACTGTATATACATACATACATACATACATGTAATCACAAGAAGACACTGAATTCTCCCTCAACATCTTCCTATTGTCCTACACACTATACATGGATGATATTGCATGCTCAAATGTAAAAGGGAGAGAGAAGGGGAGACGAGGAAGATGTAAGCGAGGGGGAGATGGACGTACGTTCCAGGTCGGTTGATGTAGGGCTGCAGTTTAGCCTTGACCTCGTCGTACGTGAGGAAGGCTTGGTAGCCGGGGTGAGTGACTGCCAGGGCATTCCAGTTCTTGAGCAGTGTGGGCCAGGGCTGGAACAACCTGGGGGAGAGGGGAGAGAGGGGGGAGAGGAGGGAGGAGGGGAGGTGAAAGAGACTATCACAAAAAAAAACTTTGGTGAGCAAAGTTACCTTCAAACCGCTTTAATAATGTTTGCACATGCACATTGCTACGGACGTTGGTAACCGAGCAATTAAGACGACTACATAGGTAGGCTTGCTTCGCCAAGTGGGGGAAAGGTTCAGAGTGAAAGCAGGCAAGAAATGAAATGAGGAGAGCAAGAGGGGAAAAGGTTCAGAGTGAAAGCAGGCAATGAAGAGAAGGAACAAGGTACAAAGATAACCAGGAAAGATAGCTTTGTGCCACACACACACACACACACACACACACACACCAACAACTACGCAAACTGTTTAACGCCAACACCATACCACACACATGCACCAGGAACACACACACACACACAGACACACCTTCGTATGTTGGAATTAACGTACTCTGTATACCGACAACACATGTAAGCGTGGGACCATCACCACAAAAAATAATATATGCACACACACATTATGTATACACCACATTACATGTACGCAAGAGTGGTATATCAGTAATAATGGACATACATACAAGCACGCACACACGCACACACACACACACATACCTGGTGAAGATGTCGAACTCAAAGATAGAGATGTGATCATTGAGCGTGAGGTCTATGGTTGACTTGAGAGCCATGGCCTCGAGTGACGACTGAATGGGGTGGGCTTCAGTTAGAGTCTGTCGAAAGTCTCTCCAAGGAACTATTGCTCTTTACGAGGAGAAGGAAGGGAGGGAGAGAGGAAAAGAGGGAGAAATATAGAAAGTAAAAGTGACATAATTATGGGAACAAATTGGCTCCCTTGTATTGCATACATACAAATGCTACACTGGAATAATGGATTGGGATTGGCTTTAACGCGCATCAAAATTGAAGAGGTATTCGAGTTAATGTGCATCAGAATGTAGGGCCATGACCGGTACGCACAAACACTCCAACGAGGCTGCAAAGAAAAGCATTCTTAGATAACAAATCATCTCTGTACTTGGTCCAACCTGTAGTTCCAGGGGTTGGTGGTTTTATGTCTGTAGTGGATGCTAAACCTGGTGGGCACTAATTGGAATCAGCTGCTCTCAACTTAGAGATCAGAAGTCGATTGTACCACACAAACTGACAATACTATGTACTTGTAGTGCTGCGCCCTGTACCCCCACCCCAAACGTGGCCAAGATACTCCAGAAACCACTATGCACCATGTGTTCAATATCAAACAACTGTACTAACGTGGATTGACTGTTCTCTCTCTCTCTCTTCCCCCCATTCCTTCCCCTACCACACACCAAGGCTCTGTCCCCTCGCTCTTTCTCTCTCACCTACCCTTTCTCCTTTCTATCTCTCTTTCTCTCATCTCCCTCGCTACACTGTACCTAGTCTGAAAGTTCACTGCCCAGAAGTCTGCGGCGTCCTGCTTGGTGACCCTGAACGTGTACCCTCCGTACACCCCCATGGGGAACAGTGCCTTCAACTCAGCCAGCATGTGGGAGAAGATGAGGGAGAGCTTCGTGAGACTCCGTCGCTCGGCGCTCGTCTCGTCGAATATCTTCTCCTTGGCGTCTTTGAACAGGCGGACCGTCTGCTTGCACTTGTTCATAAGGTTCTCCATGAAGATGCGGAAGAACTCGTTCTCGTTCAGAAAGGTCACGTTCTCCTCGTAGTGCTTGAACACGATGCGGAGGTGCTGGTAGGTGTCGGGCAGAATGTCCAGGATAAACGGGGGACTGTTCTTCAAGTTGAGTCGCCGATTGGCGCAGTGAGTCACGACCTTGTCCATCATTTTCCACGCCTTCTCTATCGTCTTCTTGTCTATGGAGGGCTGGGCCTTCTTCTGTGCGTGGATTCGCTCCGAGATGGCCTCCAGCCAGTTCCGTGAGCGTCCAGCCATCTTGCTCTTTCGCCTAAGGTTTACTGTACACACCCGGGTTATGTCCGTATACTCTCCGTATATCTTATCCCTGGGCGTCTCCAAAGTGGTGGTGTAGGTAGAACGATCCTCTACCGGTGAACCTCTGCCTGGCTAGCTAGACACCAACTCTACAGACATGGCGACAGCACTATGTACGTCTTCAACTTCAACGCTTACTATAAAACTGCCCGCGGCTCCGAAACCCGTCCGCTTTGATGCATATTATATGCCGGAGTAGGTGGGCGTGGTTGTAGGCGCGGTCTCCACGTGGCTTCAAAGAGCGGCTTCAGAGCTCAAGACCAGTGGCTGTCAGAGCCTCGCTCAGAGCTCAGTTTGTAAAACCTCTGTGCCTTGCCTGACGTAGGAGGGAATGGCTGGCGGTGCTGAGAACGTGTTCAAGATTCTAGTCGGTTAGCGATCGGACGTGTAGCATCCATTTGGGGACACCAACACAAAAGAACTGTACTCTAGCAGTTTACTACGGGATACACTGTGCTAATAGCGTAGTGCATATGGAAGCATGCATCTATTTATACCCCCAACTCCTAAGCTCCTAAGCACATGTTTTTTTAATATGATATAGCCAGCATTCTCCTATCCTTCGTCCATGTAGCCACAGACAACCATGTCGGCTACTTGGAGAAAGACCAAATTAGAGGTACTGATTCCCTGGAAGCTTTTGAAGAAGTGCTGAGAATTGCACAGGAGCGGCAGGCAAGTAGCACACTGTTCGCGCAGTGCTACTGATCCACTCCATACATTGCACATGCTGTACTGCACTGGTCCACTGCATACTAGCATAACACACTATGTCTAGTGCTTACACTGGTCAACTGCATACATAACTGCATACATAACACCCGGTGTGTGACTGTACTTGGTGTGTACTCTGCGTGTGTGTGTGCGTGTGTGTGTGCATAATGTTTGTACAACGCTGCTGCACAAGGTGTAGCACGGTCTAATAGTGTACTGGGATATCAGAGTGTGGGAAGGTAACTCAGCTGGCTAAGCCAACTCGGTGTGAATTACATCTGCCTTTGATGCAGGTGGATTTCATTCTGTTGGGAGGAGATTTGTTTCATGACAACCGTCCGTCAAGACAGGTGTTAACGCGGACCATGGAACTCCTGCGGCACTACTGTATGGGAGAGAGGCCTTGTCCCATCGAGTTCCGCAGTGACCAGACTCTCAACTTTCGCCACTCCAGGTTAGTTCAACCTACTTACCCGTCTCTCGTTGGGTTAACTAAGCTACATACACATAATTATACATACAACACATGCAGTAAAGGAAGTATATATGTACAATTTTTTCAGGGTGACCAATCTGTTTTTTGAGAAGTAATGTGGAATGTGGGGTGGGACGAGTAATGATTTTGACCTATAGTTTAGGGGAGTACAGACCATTTTCAGGGCAAAATGCTCCCCCAACCTCCCTATAGAAATCACTGTTGGGGTTTCGAACAGGAATTTCCTGGTTTTGTATAGGAAGAGCGAATGATGGAATTAGCGATCTACGTTTCCCTGGAATCCTGCCACACAGTAATTATTGAGTGCCTTGCATGAAGATTGCTTGTTGTGGTATCAATAATGGTGTACAGTCGACGACAGAGGACAGGCAAGGCATATAAAACTCCTCTCCTTGAAATTTAAATTTGCCCCCATAACACGTACAGTATGTGATGATGTGTGATGTGGAATTCCCTAGTGGTTGGCATGCGTGTCTGGACCGGCCATGCGTACCATGTTCGAACTGAGAAATGTATGTATACACATGTAGGAGGTGTGTCTGCACCTTAGACCAAATACTAGAAAGCCATTTTCCTGGATGGCAAGCATTCCTGGATGTGGAAGCTCCACAAGCTGTGCCTGGCCCTGCTGGCTATACACTTGGCTGGGGCAGCTGGAAACAGCTGTTGCTATCTATCAATCTCTGTCTCAGCTCCCCACACCCTCTCTATGCTTTTTGGTGTGTCTCCTTGTTTTTCTACACCATTCCCTCCCCCTCCTTTGCTTTTCCCTCCCCTCTCTTTGTGTCTCAATTTACCACTCCCTCTCTTCCTCCCTCCCTCCCTCCCTCCCTCCCTCTTCCTCCCCCCCTCCCTCTGCCTCCCTAGGTTCCCAGTTGTCAACTATGAAGACCCAAACTACAATGTCTCCATCCCAGTCTTCTCCATCCACGGGAACCATGACGACCCAGCTGGGGTAAACACATACTTACATACATGTAGGTACAACATTCAGTACATACCCCGCCTATAATAATGTATAATACTAGGGCACCATTGTAGGCTGACATGACCTGAGACAAGTTGTGGTTGGTGTATGTTGCTCTGTGACTTGTTCATCAAAGGACATGTATTCACCGCTGTACCTGTACTACGCTGTACCGTAATGTACTACTGTACCATACTGCTGTACCATAATGTACTACTGTACCATAATGCTGTACCATAATGTACTGCTGTACCATAATGTACTACTGTACCATAATGTACTACTGTACCATAATATACTGCTGTACCATAATGTACTACTGTACCATAATACATTATGGTACAGTACCATAATGTACTGCTGTGCTATGTACATTAATGCTGCCCACCACCTGTTGTATAATATAGTGAGTATCGTGTTACTGAAAGACATGGTCTAATACCTTCATGCATGAGTACCAAGTGGCTTTCTATTGCTAATATAATGCAATGCAGGTGGTTTGACTGCCGTGACATACGTACTACATTTGAGGAGAAATAATCTTTGATTTTAGAGGATGAAGTGTTTGTTGACAAGGCCTAAACAAATTTTTTCCTGAATATTATGTATACACTTTTCCATGTATTCTATGACTATGATACCTCAGAGATCACTGTGACTGGTATTCTCCATGTGTGACTATGACTATGATACCTCAAAGATCACTGTGACTGGTATTCTCCATGTATGCTATGACTATGATACCTCAGAGATCACTGTGACTGGTATTCTCCATGTATGCTATGACTATGATACCTCAGAGATCACTGTGACTGGTATTCTCCATGTATGCTATGACTATGATACCTCAGAGATCACTGGTATTCTCCATGTACTGTAGGCTGGGAACCTAAGTCCCGTGGACATCCTGAGTGTTGCAAATCTGATCAACTATTTCGGGAAGTCGGCCAACGTGGAGTCGATCGAAGTGAGTCCCCTCCTCCTACAGAAGGGGACGACGCGACTGGCTCTCTACGGACTGGGCAGCTGTCGGGACGAGAGACTCCACCGCATGATGAGGAGGAAGAACGTGACGTTCCTGAGGCCGGAGGGGGAGGGGGAGGGGGAGGAGGGAGCAGCCGATTGGTTCAGTCTCCTGGTATTACATCAGAACAGGTAACACTGGTTGATATTATATCCATAATTGAACGAAAAACTTTCCAATTAAACTTTGTACACCGGGTAAAGATTGTAAAATTACTTAATTTCTCCTTCAAATGTTCCCTACTGCCACTCTGTACTTTTGATGCAACTCCAGGTAGTTACTGTTAAAAGTGCGTAGAGTAACTACTATGGATATTCCTGTGTTGTCTACACTGCTGTATGTTCGGCCTTACAGGGCCAAACATGGAGAGAAAAACCACATTCCCGAGAACTTCATTCCGGCATTCTTTGACCTGGTGATCTGGGGTCACGAGCACGAGTGTCGTATCGACGCAGAGTACAGTGTGGTTGGGAGTGATGCGGACGGGGAGGAGGAGGGAGTGTTCATCTCCCAGCCTGGGTCCTCCGTGGCTACCTCGCTGTCAGAGGGGGAGACCAGGAAGAAGTGAGGGAGTGAAGAGTGTGTGTAGGGGGAGAAGGGAGGGAGTGAGGAGTGTGTGTAGGGGGAGAAGGGAGGGAGGAGGAGTGTGTGTGTATTTGGGCAGAAGGGAGGGAGGAGAGAGTGTACAACTCTCAGTCTGCTATTCTTGGTGATAATCAAGGCGGTGTATTGGCGAGCAAAGTGAGCCTTCTTAATCGTTTCAATGCAAGAATGTTCTATGTTTATTTGTATGTGATGGGTACTGCACATAGCATAATGTTCTACGTGATTCTAAATACGCACAAAACACGTGCGAAACTGCTTTCGCTCACTCGCCAAGAGTGTGGTCCATTCCTCTAGTAGTTTACATACAAATCAATCAAGTCTGGCCATTGTGAGGTATGGGAGTGCACTCCTACGTAGCTATTATGAAAGGGACAACGAGGAAACCAGGGAAAGAGAGGAATAGCAACAGGAAGGAATTCATGGAGATGAATGTAAGAAAGAAGGAAGTGCTGGGGAGTGCTAGGTGCCAACAGTTAGTTCCTGGGATCTGGGCAGGAAGACACTCTCCACTGTCCAGTGTTTACTGAGAGACCAGCTACATGGCTGCCAGAGTGTGTGTTCATAACAAATAGTGAGGCAATGGAGGGGATAGCCCGACAACATAGACAAATATACTGTAATACTAACCCGGGGAGACTGTTGCCACGGCTTCTGTTGGGATCAGCTGGGGTGGAATGCTGTGCTGGCTGGATATGAAACACATGAGCTGCTGAGTAGAGCGAAAAGAGGGCACAATGTTTCATGTACGCTAATGCTTGGTCCATATTCAGGATACAGGATAGTACCGCTCCCAAGTTTTACCACTCTTGTTTTACCCTCAGATTATATCTTTCTATTGTCTCTTTCTCCTTTCCCAGTTTTTATTTTACTTTCCCTCTTGTCTTCTTATCTTATCTCTCTTATCTCCTCCTCTTCTCCCCCTCCCCCCACACACACACAGACATGTAGGAATCCTCTACGTCAAGGGAACGTCGTTCAAACTGGAGCCAGTGGCACTCGAGTGTGTGAGGCCGTTTGTCATGGACACTGTGTTTCTCTCCCAGACAGGAATCCACCATCGGGAGGAGCAGCAGATTACTGCCTACCTCACCCAGAAGGTCTGTCTTTTACTATATCTGTGTAACTAGTGAAACAACTGGGCCTAATACAGTGGAACCTCCGAAAGAAGGACACTGTTCGTTGTGAATTTATTCTCCCTCGAAGTATCCTGCTGTGATATTATGTGGTGATGAGTGTGTTGTATGACTGTAGGTGCAGGCTATGGTGGACGAGGCTAATGCTGACAATCCTCAGGGAAAGCTGCCTTTAGTAAGACTCAGGGTAAGTCACCAATGTGTCAGGTGTTGTTGCATGCACATATGTGTGCTAGACTTATATTCCAGCTTCCAGCTTACCAGTTCATATTACCATAATTCTCTTTTTGACATGCCCGCGCAAGAGCTTGTATCAATGATACATAGGAATCTCCCTGTAGAAAGTCCCTCCTATCATTGCCCCGGTGCTAGTTGTTCATACTCTAAATAAACTCTGTGTTACGTGTACCGCTGTGCTGTACTAGGTGGAGTACAGTGGGGAGTATGAGACATTCAGCAACGCCAGGTTTGGCCAGAGGTTCGTGACGGAGGTGGCCAACCCTCGCTCCATCCTCCTCTGGTTCCGACAGAGAAAGTCTGTCAGTGAGTCTCTCTCTCTCCTCCCCCACCTCCGCTTTCTAACACACGTGCATATACGCATCCTGTACAAATATGCCTGTGTTGACGTAATACAAGTGTGTCTGCTAAGACTAGCAAATAACATTCTAGCACTGCAATATGGAGATTAAGCACACTATTTGCACTATGAAGATATTTGTTTTAACCCTATGTGAACCATTTTGCTCCCACCCACCTTTAACCCCATACTCACCCCACCTCCTCCCTCCCCCAGGGAAGAAAGACGAGAGCCCTGAGCCGGGACACCTGCTGGAGGGTGTGGGAGGGAGGGAGGAGGGAGGAGGGGGAGAGGGGGAGGGCCTCAGTATGCCAGTCCTGGTGGAGCAGCAGCTGCAGTCTCAGAAACTGAACCTCTTGTCTGAGAAGAACCTCACCGAGGCTCTCACTCAGTTTGTGGACAAGGAGGACACTGACGCCATCTCAGAGTGAGGCTGGTGCATGACATGGTGCCACTCTTACATTTGGAACAGTCCACCGTCATCTGTGTGTCTGCATGTGTCACCAATCAAGTAGCCTAGGCGAAGGCAAAGTCCGCTACACCAAGGACTCTCAGGGAGAGTTAATGTGTCTTAAACAACAAGTGTATTAATTAGCGAGTGGTGTAGGAGTAAAAGCCTGTTTAAAACTGCACTTTCAATGTCTAACTTGTGTCTTCGTACTATTCCCTTGAAAAACACGTGCAGTCGGGCAACATTTGGGTTAGCTCGTTTCCGCTCACCGATTATGTTCTCCCCTTCTTCCTCTGATCTGTGTCCCCCAGTTTTGTGAAGTACTCGTTGGAGCAGGCTCAGACCTACCTCAAGGAGAGACCCGGTATCAATGAAGCCGACATTGACACTCAGGTATGTTGTATATTGTACAACTGTCTCGTGGAAAACTGCTGTTGGTTCTCTGAGGACCTCGTGGAGTGTTGAATGACCAAAAATTCAAGTTTAAATTTGTGGATTTACTACTTCGTGCGGATGCTATCTCTTGCAGTTTATTTTTACCTATACTTTTTGAAAGCCTGAAAAATAGTATGCCCTACAATTTTATGTGGAAGTCTGCAGTGGCTGATTATTGAGAGGAGCCCCTGTTGTTGTTCCTCATCTCCAGATCTCCAGACAGAGGGAAGAGTTACTGCGACGACAGGAAGAGGGGGCCTCCGACGCCCACAAGGTGAGGGGAACCCCTTCTAATATAACATCATTTGAATCACCGGGCTACAACTTTTAGGGGGAAAGGCAGTTAGTAGCAAATGCGGAGGGAAATGTTCGTGGGTTAAATACTTGTCCTTCACTGTGCAATGGCATCAAGAGTTTGTAGGGAAAACTTGTGGTTTGTCCTCAATCTGCGACATGTTTCTCCCAAAGATTTTCTACTGTATGTCAGGTATACCCACACTTTGTGTCTGTTCCTTTATGAAAACAATTTTGTACACACTCAAAAACTTCAGTATAAAGACATGGGTGACATACATAAGAAAAGTTTAGTTCTGTGAGGATTGTGCACATGAATATTGCTGTTCAGAGCACCTCAACAGGAAGGCACTCTATCCTGCTTTTTACTCTGTGTCTCTCTTTCCTCCAGGAGATGTCGCAGGCGAGGTCAGAGTCATCCACGGGCAGAGGAGACGGGGAGAGGGGGAGTGAGGGGGAGGAGTGGGATGGGGAGGGGGGAGAGGGGGCATCGGCCACTGGTAGGAGGGGAAGGGGAAGAGGGAGGGGGAGGAGGGGGAGTTCGAGTGGAGAGACGAGAGGGAGGGGGCGGGGCAGAGGGAGAGGAAGGGGTGCGAAGGGAGCCAGCGCAACCAGAGGAAAGTCAGCAGCTGCCTCTAAGAGTTAGTCCTGTATTATCACACTCCGTTCGTTCACATGCTAATTATAGTTGTAATGGCATAATATATACTCAAGTATTTTTAAACAATAGGGAGAGAACTTGCAGTTTTAAGGACTTATATAATTATAGGGCTGACTTCTCTCTGAATTTGTGGGCATAAGCATTTTTCTGTGTGACAATCCAAGCTATCCCTCAGAATCTGGAAAGTTTTGTTTCCCTCACACATATCCTGCCAGATGGTACTGCAAATAGTAAAGTGTTATTACTGAAATCATGGGTCTCTGGTCTTTGTCTTGATGCAATGTGGCAGTACACGTGGTTCGCAGGCAGCATTGGGGCAGTGTTGGTTCCCGTTTAACAACGGCCGTTCTATGGAACGGAAACACCGTATATACAGAGTGTGTTGGTCTAGGTATTCACCGGCTTTCTTTATCGCCTAATGTTCACACAAGTCCCTGTGGCGCAATGGTTAGCGTGTTGGACTTCTAATTCAAAGGTTGTGGGTTCGAGTCCCACCAGGGATGCTTTTTTATTTTTATTTTTTTCCAGGTAGCAGTGGGGCAGGAGTCGGTGATCTTCCTCCACTGGAATTTGCCGGCAGTGGAACCTCCGGGACACGGGGTACCAGACCCAGTACCAGCAGCAAGAAGATGATTGTGTATGATGAGGTGCGTGGTTCCCGTCTTGTCAGTGAGGGTGTGCCCCTGTGATTACTGGTGTGGTATTAGAGTGATGAGGAAGAGGAGCTCAGTTTCCTACCTCCTTCCAAGAAGAAGAAGACAAGCGACCATGATGCTCCCATTGATGTGAGTACCCCACTATCCAGTCACAGTGTCATGCACTATATATACCTGTAGCCAGGACTATAGTTTGTATTTTGTGTGAGAGGGCCTTGAAATCCCTTTATTGAACTCTAGCCAACACTGGTTTGCAAGCAAGCCCACCTTTGTCTATTGTGCGTGATTTTTCTTGAATCTTGAATGTAATGATCGACTTGCCACAGCAATGGGTAGTGCATGCACATACATCACCAAAGGTATTGTAGTATCACTAATGTGTCTCTCTTCTCTGTAGCTGACTCAGGAGAGTGGTAGTGAGGAAGATGGGGTAGGAGGAAGTGGTGCCAGCTGTCACACGTCTATCTTTGCCACCCAGACTGGTGGCGGTGTCCGCAAGAAGAGATGACATCATCATCCATCTCACCACATCCTCTTATACATGTACAGACTGTATGAGATACACTGCCCCCACCCTGTTTTTGTAGCTAGTTAAAATAGTGGTTTTACAGGATGAGTGAGAAGCGCAGTGTTGACGCGCATGCGCAGGCAAAACGTGGACCACACGACACACCTTTCCCAATTAAAATTAATTAGGTACAGAGACTAGAGGCTTGCTTGGTGACAGTGTGTCGACGTCGACGCGGAGGAGCGGCAAGATGGCTAACGTAGGGAAGGTGAGTTTGTTTTCTGCGCGTTGAAGATGGCATGGTGGTTCTTTGCTAGCTATATTAGCTACATGAGCTAATACAGTGGCGGGTTTTGGCATCTAATAACGCTGACCGGCGGGCTGAATCACCTGCATCAGCAGTGATTCCAGCATTGTGACAATGTGTGTTACTGATCATGCTGCGTGTTGTATGCATGTTGCAGGTGATATCATGCAAGGCAGCAGTGGCCTGGGAAGCCAAACAACCTCTCTCCATAGAGACTGTGGAAGTGGAGCCTCCGAAGGAGGGAGAGGTCAGAGTTCAGGTAAACCACACCCACCTAACACGCCACGTACACTTCACTATTCTGAGGTCTGAGCCTCACTTGAGTGAGGGTTGTCTTTTGTTGATCCGAGTTGTGTTGTAAGGCAATCAGATGGCTAGATTGAACACAGAGCTATATGCATTACTGAGAGAAAGCATTATGCTGTGTTACATAATTCATGTTACGTATGACTATGTAGATTTGGCACAACCAAGAAATCGGACATTACTTATATATTATATCAGACCCTCTTTCGGACGGGTGCAAGTCTGCGAACAAAAGCACTATACATACTTCTATGTAAACATTATTCACAACTCGTATTACAATCATTTGAGAGAACATGAATAGACTGCATTGGGTAAGACGCTATTCATCATCTCCAGATATTGGCCACTGGGGTGTGCCACACCGACGCCTATACTCTCGGGGGCGCAGACTCGGAGGGGAAATTCCCCTGCATCCTTGGCCACGAAGGAGGGGGTGTGGTCGAGAGTGTGGGTCCGGGGGTCACCTCTGTTGCCTCCGGCGACCACGTCATCCCTCTCTACATCCCGCAGTGCAGAGTGTGCAAGTTCTGTCGCAGTTCAAAAACTAACCTTTGCTCCACCATCAGGTCTGTCTCTCTGTCCACTGATCCAACTCTATCTCTATTATAGTCTGTAGTAGTAAATATATTGACAGTGGGAGCTTTTCAGAGAAAATACTTGTGATTTTGATTACACCAAAGTGACCTTTTAGAGCTCTTTGGCTCTCCCAATACACACCTGTCCATGTTGTAAACCCTGTGTCTGCACTACATGTTGGTAAAACCGTAGACGTGTTGGAAGCCACGTATCTGCTCATTAGTAGCTGTGACTTTGCAAGTGGGGGATCCAATTTGGGTCAGCTAGCCCACCTCTCTACTGAGGAGGTCATGTGATTGCATAGTCAGTGCCCATTGACGCCAGTTTGTAATGTTGTAGGATGATTTGCTTCGAGTCTTGTAGAGGTTGAATAAAGCACTGACTAATACCTAAGTTTATGCGGCTTGCTTTCAGGGAAACAGTCAGAGGTTGCAGGCACAATGCACAGTTGCACAGCCAAATTCCCCGTCACACATTGACTCAAAAACATAAAGACACATTGACTCAAAAAACATAAACACACATTGACCCAAAAAAACATAAACACACATTGACTCAAAAAAACATAAAGAGCGAATTGTGCAGCATATCTTGGCATGCAGCCATGCTGTTAGAGCTGTAATGATGATGGGGAACGAAACTGCAGTTACACTATTATGTACACATGCATGTGTGATATGCAGAAGTACCCAGGGCCAGGGAGTGATGCCAGATGGGACTTCCCGCTTCACCTGCAAAGGTTTGACATCTCTCTGAACACAACTGTACAACATTGTGTCAGTTTGTGTCTGTCTGGTGTGTAGGGAAGACGGTGTATCATTTCATGGGAACCTCCACATTCTCAGAGTACACTGTCCTACCAGAGATGTCAGTGGCCAAGGTCTGTCTGTGGCACCGCCAGCAGAGTAGGGTGTCAATGTTTTGTCCATTGGAATTCCTTTCTAAGGACACCCTTGAAATGGGGACACCACTAATGATGTGGACAGCTTTTGTCTCACCCAAAATCTGTTTTGCACTATTTTAACCTTTGAAGAAAGGATACACCTCACTAATATGTGGCACTTTCTTCTGTCCCATTGGTGTCCGGATTAGAGAGATTCCCCTGTTGTAGTGGGTCAGCCAGTCAAGTGTGTGTATATACATGTCCGCTACAGGTGAACCCCGCTGCCCCACTGGACAAGATCTGTCTCCTTGGCTGTGGCATCCCCACTGGTATACTTTTTTTAATGCCATTTTTTTACAACAGATAGGTTTTGTGTTTGATGTGTGAGTGAAAATGATTTGATAACTGCATTCCTCATCTCTCTCTCCGCAGGATATGGTGCTGCACTCAACACTGCCAAAGTCGAGGTGAGCATCAAAACTCTGTATGTCTGTTGTTCCTTGCGTCTCACTGTCCTATGTACATGCATGTATGCAGGCGGGGTCAGGTGTGGCAGTATAGGTTCTCTCTTGATCAATGTCTTCTTCTCTCTGTTGTTCCTTGCGTCTCACTGTCCATAATATACATGTATGTATGCAGGCGGGGTCAAGTGTGGCTGTGTTTGGCTGTGGATGTGTAGGACTGGCAGTCATAATGGGTGCCAAGGCAGCAGGAGCCTCCAGAATCATTGCAGTGGATATCAACCCTGACAAATGGGCCATTGGTACATATTACCTACTCATATAAGTCATATACACCTGGATTTGCAAGTGAGTGTGGGCTAGTCTAAGTGCTCCATGCACAGCTTTTAAACATCCAGAATGTAGCATTGGAACTACTATAATAATTATAGTAAGCCTGTTTCGCTAATTTCGTGCACTGCAGCCCAGCAGTTTGGAGCCACGGAGTTCTTCAATCCCAAGGACCACAACAAACCAACCCAGCAGGTCAGTCTTCACTCTGACTGCAGTGTTTGTAGTTCACTCAGCTCCTGCTGTACACCCTGTCCCACAGGTCCTGGTAGAGATGACCGACGGAGGACTGGACTACACTTTCGAATGTATTGGCAACATAAAGACTATGGTAAAGCCTTTGTTTGATTTGTTCAGTTCAGTATCTAGAGCACAGTGTGTGTGTATCAGTCAGTCATTATGCCTGTTCCAGCTCTAGCTATCCTGCCTATGTAACTGTAAGTTTAGTTTGACTCACTTCTTTTCAATAATGTACCTCTGAAGGCTTATGGTGTGAAAGAGCTAATGCTAATGCTTATGAGTACTATATAGATCACCACAGACTGATCTTGTCAATGCTGTAACTATCCTCAACTCTCCCTCTGCAGAAAGCGGCTCTGGAGGCGTGTCACAAGGGGTGGGGAGTGTCCACCATCATAGGAGTGGCCGCCGCAGGGCAGGAGATCTCCACAAGACCATTCCAACTGGTCACTGGCCGTGTCTGGAAGGGAACTGCCTTTGGAGGTGAGGACTGCGTTGACTATGATAGAGCTGTAGTTGTGGGTTCTACGAGTGCTCCTCAAAGTTAAGTTGGGTTTTCCGCAAGAGCTGCAAAGGTGCTCCTCACAGCAACTAGTTGGGTCTCCGTTTAGAGTTGGGTATATATAGTCTTGTTTCACATTAATATGTGTTGCAGTCCCCATAATGACTGGGCATGCATACATGCGTACTAGGATGTGGAATTGTTTGTCGCAACCAAAGTCACATTACACTGCATTTATTTCAGTTCCTGCAGCAATGTATACATAATTATAGTGATCCAGTCTTTTAGTAATAACCTAGCTCCCTAACTGTAGCACCACATGTTTGAATGAACACTGTCACTGGCAGGTTGGAAGAGCAGAGACTCAGTCCCCAGCCATGTATGTAATAGTGAACCAGTCTTTAGAAATAAACTAGTTCCCTAACTGTAGCACCACATGTACACTGTCACTGGCAGGTTGGAAGAGCAGAGACTCAGTCCCCCAGCTGGTGGAGGACTATCTGGCCAAGAAGATAAAGGTGGACGAGTTTGCCACTCACTCCATGCCACTGGACGACATCAACAAGGCCTTCGAACTCATGCACGACGGAAAGAGGTCAGTGATCTTCAACTTCACTCACTCATATATATAAAGAAGTGTGACATTTGACCCAATGCACGAGGGAAGTGTGATACTTAAAACTCCACGCATGTGAAGGAACTCTAAAACGAGTCTTGTGGCTTTGTGAAAGGTGACAAGCAGCCCTTTCCCTTCTTTCTTCTGCAGCATTCGCTCGGTTGTAACCTACTGAAGTGTCCCCCAGCTCCCACCACACTCCAGTGATGCCAGAGAGACAATTGAACTGTAGTCAATATTAAATCAATCATAATTGGATGTTTTCATATATAGCTGCTTGATTCACATGCATATCATGTTTAGCTACGCCCATTTATATCAGGAGTTGGGAGTACTCTCTCACGTTGGATAAAAACTCAATTCCGCTGTGCTAACCTAACTCTTGTACACCTCATACCTGCTGGTTGCCCTGGTAGCTCAGTTGTGTGGTTTGGTTAATTTTTTGCCTTGATTACCTCTGGTTGGTACATGAAGTTATCATACCAGCCATAATGTACATGTGACTGTTGGAATGACAGCAGGAGTCCCTGCAACGCTAGTTCCATGGTAACGTTTGTATTTTCCATGGCTTTTAAAATTAGCCACAAGGAAGAAAGAATCAATTCACATACCACCATAAATACAGCGTACAACAATAGAGGTACATGTAATAAATAGTATACAGAAAACGATGACAGCGGACAGCGATGACAAGGTGTGCTATGTATCAAAGATAATGAGAGAGTCTGAATAACCCATGATGTAACGACCCAGGGTGTAGGCTCCAAATAATGCACACCCTGCACCTCCGGCTATGGCCATCGACTTCAATCCAGCTGTCAGTGTTTGTGTGTATGTGTGTGTGGTGAGATGAGGTGTTGTTAGGGAAGCAAACGTACTGCACTACGGAATAATACCACCAATCTCCTCATGCTAAAGACCTACAGGAATGCTTGTTGCTATCTCATGTACCATACATCTATTCGCATGATTCGAGTATAGCCGTGCCGAAAAAAGATTGGGCACTGTTTCTGCTTGTGGCCCTCATCACAGCATGCATTCTCACTCACGAGTGGTAAACATGTCCATAGCTTGTGCTGACAGTATGACACACACACACACACACAACAGTATAGTACCTGTGGATCTGTATAGGACTCCAGTGAGAGTGGCAGCTGCCACTGTGTTGAGGGAGTCATCGACCCCGCGACCTTTGGCCAGAGCTGACTCCAGTGGACTGAACAACAGAGCTGCAGACACACAACAACAACAACAACAGCAACGAAAAAAGCTTCATCTACATGTATGAGGGTCCGGGAATCTAATCAGCATATCTCAAGTGTAGTGGTGAATGGCAAACACAGCTTACACTGTCATAATATATAGGCACATCAATACTCGTACTATGATCCGTCTCTGTGTCACAGCTATTGAAGAGTTTGGGAATACACGTTCATGTTTTCAACTTTAGCACTCTGCTGTATGCTATATAAATAGTTTGGTCTGTATTTCAAGAGGCAGTTCTGTTTGGTTGTGGGTTCTACCAACACATTCAACTCAGTCATAGTACAGAGATGGTAGAGAGAAAGATAGCTGACCGAGGACAGCGAGGTTGTTGGCCATGAACGGTCCTCTCCGTGTCAACCCATTGAAAATGGCCGTGGTCCTGAGACGAGGACTGAGCCCCGCCCCTCTCTGTATCCCCTCCCCCACCCCCCACACCCCTCCGATTGTCAGACCTGTACACACACGTAAACACACGGTGTATAATTCACCCTTCAACTATTGCATATCCTTATCATTGAATAAGACAACACTCTTTTCACATTCCACTTGCCTGGCCATTAAATTTTCAGCCTGAAATTGTCTATTGAGAAAATTCTGTGTATATACATGTATTGTTGTTTCAATGGGCACTCTATACCACCACACGTCATGCAGTGCTGAGCTATGGGTCAATGGGTTCACCTAGATAATAAACAGTATTCACGGCATTGGACTTTACAGTGAAAACCTAATAAAAAGGTGGTATATTACTTAGGAAGTTGGTCTCTTTACAGAGCTCAAAATCAATCTTCACAGACAGATTTCACTGCACATATAAGACCGTGAGCTGAAACTGAGTACACACAAATAGCTATAGTCAGGGGGTGGGGGGTGGGTGCTACCTCACTCACCTGTCATGTAGGAGCCTCCTGTTCTGTCAAACATCTTCTCGTTCCAGCTCTTTCTCCTGGTCTCCACCGGGAACAGAAACTCCGGTCCCTGGACATGGGGAACAGGAAAAAAAACTCAACAACCTCCCAAGTATGTACCATAGACAATAGATTTACACTGTGTCTCGTGTGTCTACTACCTGAGGTAGGTAGGCCGGGTCCATAGCGTAGGGAGATATCCTCATACCGGCTGGTGGTCTAACTGTAGACGAAAAACGGAACGGGCCTTGGTAAACACGTACATCAGACGACGCAACTACAGTTATTCGTCGCAGAAGTATTCTCACTGGGTATAGGCGGCGCATCTTGTTGGAGAGAGTCTCCAGAGCTGTACTCTCTGTCTCCCCAGCGGTCCCTAACGTCCATTGCTCCGCTTATTTCCCACACGACGTCTCTGTGCGGCGTCTGCTGAAGAATAATTCACGAGGACCAGGGTCAAAAGGTCACGCACGTGGTGCGCATGCCCATAATAGAAGGGCGGCGGCGTTGTTGAGACGCGGCCTTTGCGCTTCGGCGAAGAAAGATAAAGTGACCGCCCCATTCTTCTCTGGTTCTGGTATAAATGGCGACCTCTGGAAAGACCCAGGTAGAGTATAGGTCGTCATGTATAGCCGGCGTGGTCTTGCTCCTCAAGAAACCAGTGTATGTGCAGTAATAGCATGTTTACTACAGTTTTTCCACTTTTTTGTGTCAGTCTATGGTGTCAGTATATATGGTAGATCATTGTATGTGGTGCCGAGAGACGTTAGAGTGTCTGGACTGTACTGCAGGGTGCTGTTAGAGCAACCAACGTGACGTTCAAGGCAGGTCATGTGACCAGGAAGAAGAGAGGAGAGGTGATTGGTCAGAGAGGAGGTTTCCGTGGCTGCTGTGTCTGGTTCACGGGTGAGAGAGGGAGGGAGGAGGGAGGGAGGAGGGAAGACAGGGATGTTAAAGTTATCTGATGGTCAAAGCACTGACTGTTTATTTTTCCCTGCTTTGGTCTAGCGAGATACACTGTTTTCTGGGCTGAAAAATTTCTAGTGAGAGGGAGGGAGGGAGAAGGGAGGGAGAATAAAATGGAGGAACCTTGAGGATGTGACAGTTAGACTAAGCAAATGGAGTGGTGTTAGGATAAGCAAGGTAGTATGATGGTCTGTTTATTCTAGTGGAGGTAGAGAGGAGAGCCGTGCCATTCAGCTGAATGGTGGAGACATGTGTCTAAGTGACTAGATCTCAATTCATCTGTGACTAACACTAGTGTTTGATGGAGCCTTTTTAGTTGTTAGTCAGTGTTAAAGTGTACTAATAAACTCTTCAAAATGTGAGCATCTTTCTTGTAAACCAGGGTTTTTGTGATGATAGTATACTGTTGTAGAATGAGCAAAAGCATCTCATTCTCTGCAAAATTGATGTGTGGAGAGTGCACGCTAAGCTCGTGCACTGATAGTAAAAGAGGTGCCTTAATTTAGCAGAGAGTAGCTTTGCCGAAGACAATTATACGCTTCTAAAACTTTTTTGTGTTTCCAATCTTTGTGAATACTTGTATGTTGTTATGTTATGTTGTGTTGTTGTGTGTCCATGTAGGTCTGTCAGGAGCCGGGAAGACAACGCTGTCATTTGCACTGGAGGACTACCTGTGTGCTCGCGGGATACCTTCTTATGGTCTGGATGGAGACAACATCCGTACCGGTGAGAGGATGGGAGGGGAATAGACACACATGAGAGGGTGGGAGGGGAGGGGAGGGAAGCTGATATATACACATGAGAGGGTGGGAGGGGGGGGAGGGGACTCTGTACTGGTGCTATATATAGGCCGGGAGGGAGGAGGGCAGGAAGGAGAGGGAGGTAGAGAAATATCTGTACTGGTGAGAGGGAGAAAGAGCAGAGGAAAGAAGAAGTGGGAGAGGGGTACAGTAGGAGAAGTGATGTGGGAAGACAGCTAGAGGAATGGTGTATCAAGGGATGTGTAACTGAGGATGTGTGTGAGTGCAGCTTAGTGATTTCCTGGGGTAATAGAATGTAGTGGCGGGGTAATGGAATGTGGTGACTGTGATTGTCTTACCCTGACATTCCTACATCCACTGCCCACTGCTAGACATAATTCCAGTTGAATGGTAGGCCAGTGCATATTATTGTAAAGCTCCGTTGGTTGGCAGTCATCAGCTCTATCCTTACATTCCTAACACCTGATGCCCACGTTGTGCCACATTTTACCAATGTTAGTGAGTTGATGACCTTTTGCTACATGGATTAGCTAATACAACATTACAGCCTGAAACAACTGTGTGTCTATACTACACCTGTGAAAACATGCTTCCCACTTTATCATGGCTCACTGATAAGAAGAAAGTAATCTAGTCGCACCGTACAAAGGATGACAACCCTATCACAACTCACTATTCCATCTCTAATGGTGTACACACCTCCACTGGCTGTCTCTCTGTCTCCCTGCCGGCAGGTCTGAACAAGAACCTCAGTTTCAGCCCAGAGGACCGAGAGGAGAACATCAGACGAATATCAGAGGTCGCCAAACTCTTTGCAGATGCCGGGATCGTCGTCCTCTCTTCCTTCATCTCCCCCTATCGCAGGGTACGTATGTATGTGTGGCTAGTTTTACTTTTGTACCTAAAGTTAGTTAAGTATAGTGCGCCTCTGTGGTCATCCACGGAAATAGAGTGTGGAGTAATGAAATAATTATGCTTCTACTCACAGTGTACTGTCTTAGAGTCTGTGTGCTTGTGTTGCTGGCCTAATTGTTCATCCGGAAGCATACATTCTTCTGCTAATTCACACTGTTTTCTTGTTATGCTGTCGTCCAATGATAGTTTGTTAATAAGTACAGAATTCTTAGTGTTTAGTGGATTTGATAGAATATAGCCTCGAATCTGAAGCCTTTTCTTTTTTACTCTACTATTATAGACATGGTGTTGGTTGTTGTTGTTGTTGTGTAGGACAGGGAGAAGGCCAGGGAGCTACACCAGGGCAGCAACCTGCCGTTCTTTGAGGTGTTTGTCGACACACCACTGGAGGTGTGTGAGGAGAGGGACGCGAAGGGTCTCTACAAGAAGGCCAGGGCTGGCATCATCAGGGGTAAGCAACAAACATGTAGAAAAAACCACGTGATGCCAAGAGAAAAAGATGGGGAGCTCTGGACAGCTGTTTCGGGCTTGTTGGCCCTCATCAGCAGAGCATACCACAACTTCTCTCTCTGGCATCACAAGTGTATAAAGGCTGACATGAGCGCAGCGCTTGTGGTTCTGAACTAATGAGATTCATCCCCACAAGGCTTTGCCACATGTACGGTTTTAGCTAAACCACAAGAAGTACATAGGGCGTTACCTTCCATTTCACCTCCTTGCTTTCCTCTGTGAAAAAATACAATATGTTGGTTAAGAATGTATGACAATGGACTGTGTACCAGTGTAAATGTAGTGTGTAGCAGTAAAACCCTGCTTTGTAGTGTAAATTAAAATGTAAGTTGGGAAAAATGTATGAAGTTGTTCGAGAGTTCGTACCTATCCCTCCCTCCCTCTCTTCCCTCCCTCTCTCTCTACAATGCAGGATTCACAGGTATAGACAGTGCCTACGAGGCTCCCCTGAACCCTGACCTCGTCCTGAAGGCGGGAGAGAGCAGTGTCCAGGAATGCGTGGAGAAAGTCGTGACCTTGCTGGCAGATAAGGTGGCAATACTCTGACGTTTATGCTGGTTAATTGGTGCGGTGAACCTAGTGTTTAGGACAGCAACATTAGAGCAAAGTCTATAGAGCTGTTTGTGAGTTAATCTCACTGGATTTTAAAAACATTATGGTATGTACATATGACGGCACCATCATTGGGTATTGACAGATTGACAGAGTATAGGCTCAGACACTCTGTAGTTGTGTCAATTTTGATTATTGGGTTCAATGGGGACCGTTTTTCTCTCCCCTATAATTATCCAGGGAATAATCTCGGCAGTAGGTGACAGTGGTGTTCTGGACCTGTTTGTCCCTCCCGACCAGCTGGCCGCAGTTAGGGAGGAGGCGAGCGGACTCCCGCAGCTCTCTCTCACAAAACTGGACACCCAGTGGCTCCAGGTGCTCAGTGAGGGGTGGGCCTCTCCTCTGACGGGGTTCATGAGGGAGAAGGAGCTGCTGCAGTGTCTGCACTTTGCCACGCTGCTGGATGACGGAGTGGTGAATCAGAGTGTGCCCATCGTCCTCCCGCTCTCCACCGAGGACAAACTGAGACTGGAGGGGGAGAACTCCATCGCACTCACCTACCTCGGGAAGTTAGTCTGGTTTTTCGTGTGTCTTATAGAGGCTTGCATATTATACTTACCTGGGAAGTCAAGTCAGTCTCTCAGTTTACCATTGAGGCTTGCAGATATTATATGAGAAAGTTAGTCTAGTCTTCTCTGGTGTTCCGTTTGTCTTGACCATTTGTATTAGCACACATGTATACATATCCTGGGAGATAGTCGACCCTCACTGTACCATTGAGACTATAACTACAGTATAGAGAGTTGCCTTGACCTTTGTTAATCATTGAGCTTTTGGTTTGCGAAACCATTGAGGTTCCTCAAACCCTTCTAGGAATCTCTGTGTGCTGTATATACAACGTTTGCGAGAAACAGGAGAGCACGTTTAAGAAAGTCAAACGAGGTGTGTCCTGTCCATGAGATTGTATACATACCATGTTGTAATAATGAGGTTGGCTGTTATCAAGGTGTGTCTTGTGTAGGACACTGGCGGTGCTGAGAAACCCAGAGTTCTATCCTCATCGTAAGGAGGAGAGGTGCTCTCGACAGTGGGGACTCTACAATACTGGACACCCTCACCAGAAGGTCTGTCAGTGGTCCGGCATCTTCACAGGAGTTAAAGCTGATTACTGTAACTGCGACCTGATGCTCTTTCTGAACGCAAAATGCAACGTGTCGTGCTGTGTACACTCCATCAAAACCACCGCATAGAGTTGTGCTACAGACTGAGTCAGTATGAATTAATTTGTGTAGCAATTTGGTGGGGAATTAGCCATGTGTATAGTTTGATAGTGTTATAGAGACCGAACCTTCTTAAACTAGCCTCAACCTTGGACCTTTCTGGATCCCACCACTGATTGACTATATATGGACACGTGGATACATCTGTACTGTACATGTATTGTACGTCCCCCCAGTTGGTGGAGGAGTCAGGGGACTGGCTGGTCGGAGGAGATATTGAGGCTCTGGAGAGGATCAGGTGGAACGACGGGTTGGACCCCTACCGTCTCACTCCTAACGAACTCAGGTCAGTCACTGGCTGCACTGTGTGGTGGAAACGATATGATATACTGTGTTCTACAAACAATAGAACAGTATAACTATATATAATATGTATGAAATTGAGCTGCCCCCCCCCGCTTGCTTGCCAAAATGCATACACTATGACAGTATGTAATACTGTTCCTAGGCTCAGTGGTGATTCCATGATATTTGAACTCTTGATGTCTATAGGGCGGAGTTTCGTCGCCGTGGTGCTGATGCAGTGTTTGCGTTCCAGTTGAGAAACCCCATCCACAATGGCCACGCCCTCCTTATGAAGGTCAGCTATCGTTTTACGTACTGCCCAGGAACAAACACGAACAGGGCAGGAAATCTTAGTCCTGTGAACAAAGTATGGTTTTGAGTAAATGAGCTCATAACTGCTATAGCAAAGATGCATGGATCTTCAGTTATTAACTTGTACCAGAGATGCGTGTGTAGTACATGATTAGTATATTGAGGTAATGGTTAGTGTGTTTGTGTGTGTGTATGGTGTGAAAGAGCCTCTATAAACTGGTGTCTATGTATGTGTGTGTATGTATGTGTGTGTGTAGGACACGAGGGACATGATTCTAAGTCGAGGCTTCAGGAACCCAGTTCTCCTCCTACACCCTCTGGGAGGGTGGACCAAGGCTGACGACGTCCCTCTCAAGGTCTCATAGCTGTCTCTGTGTATGCATGTGTTGTGTAACTCTGCATAATAATCCTCTTGTAACAACTGTATGTTGTAAAAGACTAGGTGTATGCTGTATAACTTGGCACCCACACCTGCAAAACATCTTTGCTTTTGAGCAAGATATTTGTTGCAACGTGGTACTCTATTGTGTGGTCACTGTGTCAAAAGGATACTATTGAGAGGAAGTACGCACAATCAGAGTGAGCGTGAGAGTGTGTGTGAATGTTTCTCCTCAGGTCCGTATCAGGCAGCACCATGCAGTATTGGACGAGGGAGTCCTGGACAAGGAGACCACTGTCCTCGCTATATTCCCATCTCCCATGATGTACGCTGGACCCACTGAGGTACAATGGTAACTTCCTCCCTCTATAATACTACAGTGGCATTCACATTGGGTGTGTGTATCTTAGAAAGCAGACTTATGCATAGATGCAGAGCCCACTTTGAACTGAGTAATATTATGCCTTAGTGTATACGTAGCTTTTGCTACATTTGCTAACAAGAGATGTGTGTCTACAATCGCTAACAAGAGAGTGTGTGGGTGTACAATCACACAGGTCCAGTGGCACTGCAAGGCAAGGATGAATGCTGGAGCCAATTTCTACATTATGGGGAGAGACCCTGCTGGAATGCCTCATCCTGATACCAAGACTGACCTCTATGACCCGACACACGGCAAGAAGGTGGGGGGCTGGTGTCTGTTGTGTTTGCTTTGGCTTTTGTATACACACTACCTATTCTAGCATCCTGTGCAGGGCAGACAGCAAGCAAACCGTGTCAGCTATGCCTTTGTCCCAGTTCAGATTGTGTTTTATTGTCTTGAGCAACTATCTAGTTATGCAAGACAAAACCTCACTGGAATTAACACGGAGCCATTTCATGCTGTTTCGAAAATATGTGGCAGGAAACCTGGTTGGAGCTAGATATCAGACATCCCGCCTCCCCACTGTTGTCCTTGGCAATGTTGCAACACTGGGCCAGTTGGTATATAGCAGGTGTGTGGGTTTGAATAGTGCCAGGTTCTCTCCCTCTCTCATGTAGTGAGCTGAGGAGCCAGACTGTGTGTAATCTTGTTGGCCCATGTGCATGAATTGGGAAGCAGAACCTTGTTGTCCTAACTGATAGTACATAGTAACCATCCCACTAGTATACTATATCTGCCAAAGTGTTCAGTATACCTGAGTATCATTGTGTTTCTGTCTGCACACTGCCACAGGTACTGATGATGGCCCCAGGTCTGACAAGACTGGAGGTGGTACCATTCAAAGTGGCCGCCTACAACAAGAAACTGGGACAGATGGACTTCTACGACCCTTCACAGCACGAGGACTTTGAGTTTATATCAGGTCTGTGTCTTTGGATACCACACACTCAAAGAAAGAAGCTGCTACTCTCACTCTCCCCCACTCTCTGTTTCAGGTACCAAGATGAGGAGTCTGGCTAGAGAAGGCAAGACTCCTCCCGATGGGTTCATGGCTTCCCAGGTTAGCCTCCCCTCATCATGTCTCCAACTGAACAGTGTAGCTCTATTCAACACACATCCCGCTTTGATTTGAGACATCTCTGATGGGGAGATTTTTAGGGAAATCCCGTGTCTTTCCCCTTTACTAAGCCCTGAGAGACAGCTTTGCATCTTGAGCATGTCTTGATGTTGGGAGGACATCCTCTTTAGCAGGCAGTTAAATAATGTGCAAATGTTGCCAAATCAAGCTGGTAGTATTTTGCTCTCAACAAGAATGCGCTGGATAGTGTGTACATTATCTCTCTCTCTCTCTCTCTCTTAGGGCCTGGCAGGTACTTTCTGAATTCTACCAAAAAGTCGGAAAAGAAGCTGAGATTTAAGACACAGATGAACCGTGACATACCAATAATAATTTATTATGCAACTCATATTGGTGAGAATGCAAGCAAGTTTTGTAAAGTGCGATATTTGAGCCACTGCGCTGACTTGGGTGACGTTTGTAGTATTATGGCAGAGCTGTCAGTTACAAATGTAAGTAATGGGAATGTGGCACACTTCAGAGAAACTAGTTACTAATGAAAGCAGTGTTGGTTCTGCCCATTTTCAAGTGTAAGTGGTCTATGTCTGTGGTATATATAATACCAGTACATACATATTACCCAAGCTGAAAGGGTGAATTACCCGTTTCACCTGAACTTAGCTACTCACTCACACTATAATAATTATGTAGCTAGGGTCTGGTAGCTGGGGGCTACACCTCTCTCTACACTGCCAGACCCACCAGTAACAGAAGAAACAGCATTAGTCCAACACCTACACCTACACCAACTGCTACTTTTGAGTCTGCACTCCCTTTAGCAGCCCCGTCCACACCTGCACCATTGATAGCAATAGTCTTTCACTTAATGCTGAGGAGTGGAACCAACCTGGTGCTGTAGGTGTTACAGTAGGGGTGGGATACAGTGATGGTATAAGTCATCTCATCAATGATGGTGTTGGATGTGGTCTCAACCAACTGTACTGTGATTTCAGTGCCAGAGCTCACTATATCCCCCAGGTCATATTCCACAGTTGCATTAAAGGACACCTTCACCAGTGTAGTGGGAGTGGCTATGATTATCCTGTAGTTTTCACGATCACCAACACAGTCTCTGCTCTCAATGACTAGTGTCCTGGACCTCAGGTACACACTAGTCAACACTCCTTCAACTGCAGAGTAGATGTGGAGAGAGTGGCACACACACACACACCACAAGACAAGAACACAGTCTTACCGAGGTAGTGGGTGACAGTGGTTTTGTTACAGACAGCACTAGAGAATGTCACAGCAATTTCCACTGGTCCAGTCTCAGAGTAGTCTAATGTCAGTAGATGAGAGTCTTCAGAACTACCTCTCTCATAGTGCCTGGCTCCACTGCTGTGGACCCCACGCCAACTGATGGTTGTGTTCACCGGTTCTATGACGTGGTTGCTCTGGAAAGGATAAAAAAATTATATATGTGTCTGTGTATACTCCAACATTACTAACCTTCCAGGTGAGATTGATGTGACCACATTCCTCTTCAACAGCTGTTACACTCTCTGGAAATGGCAAACCTGTAAAAGAAGACACTGTCATTAGCCAACAAATTTTAGATGCTTACGGCAATCAGTGGCAATGTCTCCATTGTAGACAAAACTATCATTGACACGAGTCACACCATGGACAGTGAAGTTGAAGTCATTCACATTGCCATCCCCGAGATCAATACTGCAGTTTCTTTCACTAGCATCACTGGTGACCTTACAAAATTCCATCCTCTCTTCACTGACAGCAGTGACCACATAATAGTCCACACATTCTCCACCATACACTGGAGACTGGAAACTGACCACAGCTGATGGTGGGTCCCACACCACTGACAGACTAGTGGGAGGGGAGGCTGGACCTGTACAGATAATACGATATTCTTTAATCGACATGGATAAGCAACTATACCAGTGACACATATATGGATATCTTTATGGCTATCACTGCCAGTCGTTCGACAAATTAGAATACTTCCATTCCATGCTTGTAAGTCCCTTATAAACAGCTGAACTGTCATATTGAAGAGCGTACTGCCATCCACCTTAACTTCAGATAGTAACACTCTCAGTCCCTGTTTCAACACTTCCTGTCTTGTTGAAAACCCAGCAATGTGTAAGAATGGATCGGAAAGGTTCTCGTTGTCAAGTTCAATGCCACTGACACCGTCTGCTGTGCAGGTGTAGCTCTCAGAGGGGCAAATACAATTCCCTGCAGGCTCTACTGTCACTTCTTCGTTTGCTGTGTACATAACAGTCAATATATAGCTAATGCCGTGTTGAATCTAGCTACTGTAGCACTAACCAGTCGTTATGCACTGAAATACAAGAAATAGCCGCAGTATGAGAGAGGAGTTCCATAACTGTGGCGTGGTGAGAGTGAGTATTCAAGTATAGTTTGTTTTTAAACAGTTTTTCTATAGCCTTCAGTATATTTGTTTGACTCACCTGATTTCTCTTTTGTTTGTGTTCATGTGATGACGATCATAGTCATACCTGCTACGAGCAAACATAGCTATCTATATACGACACCGGCGGTGGAGGCGGCCGTACGTATGGCTGCACACAAAGTCGAATAACAACATTAATTAACACGAAAACACGGCCCGGGGCATGCGCGCGCGTGCTCGACGGGCTCGCGAGGTATATAGGCTGGCACGCTTCCCTCGGCGCCGCCCCCCCCCCCCCCCCCCCCCCCGGATCGCGGAATACGTGCGGGAATTTCAGACGCGCGCGCGGTCACACTCGCTCCGATCGACTCATTACCAACCATGAGTAAGAGACATCTTCATGGAAATGTGAGATTGCGATAATTACCGTTTGATGGTCCTCATTCACCTTTTCTGTCTTTAGTGGCATTACTTTATTGTAGCTATGATGGTGCTCTTGGAAGCTGGTGAGCTAGTTGCAATAATCTTGTGTGGAATTTTATCTCTGACTCTACTCATCAGCAATTATTACAGGGGAAATTACAGTGGAGCCCGACAGTTGTATATGTCCTACTGAGTACTACACTTGCAGAGCAGATCTTGTTACTGGCATGGAAATAGACAGCAGCGGGCTAACCGATCCGTTCTTTTACATCGTTGGTTTTTCGAGGAGACTAAACATTGTGAAAGAGGGACTGAGAGTTGTGTTCTCTGAAGGGAGAGTGAATGGCAGTCTCTCTAATCTGACAGCTCAGTTGTTTATTATCGACCAACAAACTTGGAATGGAAGTAATTTCAGTTGTCGAGCAGCTGGTAGAGAAAATAAAACATTTTTTGTGTTTGTCACTGGTGAGATTTTTCTACCAATCATATCTTTTTTACACTTATATACCTTTAAATTAAACATAATCAGGTCCAGCCTCCCCTCCCACTAGTCTGTCAGTGGTGTGGGACCCACCATCAGCTGTGGTCAGTTTCCAGTCTCCAGTGTATGGTGGAGAATGTGTGGACTATTATGTGGTCACTGCCGTCAGTGAAGAGAGGAATGTATTGTGTAATGCCACCAGCAATGGTCATGGACACAGTTGCAGCGTTTCTCTTGGCAGCAACGCAAACGATTACAACTTCACAGTCTATGGAGTGACTCGTGTCAATGATAGTTACATCTACAATGGAAGTGCTACTGATTGTGGTGAGTTTAAATCGGCTATGAAACTCAAATTACAATCTTTTTTTATTAGGCTTGCCGTTTCCTGAGAATATAAGAGCTATTGAAGTAGAATGCAGGATTATCAAAATCTTCTGGGAGGTTAGAATTTGTGTGGTTTTACCCGAATAATTTAGTTAATTAATGTTCAGAACAACAGGCAAAGTACTTTGGAACCAGTGAACACAACCATCAGTTGGCGTGGGGTCCACAGCAGTGGAGCCAGGCACTATGAGAGAGGTAGTTCTGAAGACTCTCATCTACTGACATTAGACTACTCTGAGACTGGACCAGTGGAAATTGCTGTGACATTCTCTAGTGCTGTCTGTAACAAAACCACTGTCACCCACTACCTCGGTAAGACTGTGTTCTTGTCTTGTGGTGTGTGTGTGTGTGCCACTCTCTCCACATCTACTCTGCAGTTGAAGGAGTGTTGACTAGTGTGCACCTGAGGTCCAGGACACTAGTCATTGAGAGCAGAGACTGTGTTGCTAGACCTGAGAACTACAGGATAAGAGTTTGCTTTAAGGCACATTTAGTTTCAATCTATCTTTAGGTGGGTGTATAGTATGTTTACACATGCATGGAGATAAAGGTTTGGACACTAATTCAGTATGCATACTATTTTCCTTCATACACTTACACACACAGTGTTGTTCGTGAGTCTCGACCTCCAGCAGTGGTGTATGAGACAGTGAGTGATGTGGTGACACCCACTGGTCCAGACACCAGTGAGAATGTGGCTTATGGAGTCTCTCACTCTCTACCCACCACCACACCCACACCACACAACACAACCCTGCTTATGGAGTGGCCAAGAAGAAGAGATTGCCAGGAATAATACATTGAAACCATCGCCCTAGTGCTATAGCTGCCCCATGAGTGTTATAATGATAGCTTTGTAAAGCCTCAATTGTTGTTGTCAACAAAACATATATTGTCCATTATCAGTGTGAACTAAATTTCATGTACACCCTATTTTTTTAATAATGTGTGTGTATAGTCACGCGTAGTAATGGTGGAAAATTATAACTTAATATCTTTGTTGCGTGAAACAGTGGCAGGTGTTTTGATTGTCCTCATAAACAAGAGGTATCCCTCTCTTCCCCTTCCTATGACAGTGACCATGACATTGAGTCAGTAGAACACCAAGTAGCAGTCCAGCAGTGAAGCTACACACTACACACACTACTCCTGTTGTGGCCACTGCTTCTGCTGTACTCAGAGGCTTAGGGGTTAAGCAAAAGCATTAATAGACTGTCAGCAGCATGCATGCAGGAACTTTGTTTGTGTAGTTGTAGCTACTAAAACATTTACATTCCATGACAGTCGTTTCCTCAAGGCACAAAGAATGCAAAACACGCGACCCCTTGCATGCTCGCATGCGGCACGCGGCCGCGGGGTATATATCTCTCTAGCTAAAGGTGTGGCTTTTGTGAGCGCACGTCGCGACGAAGGCCGTGATGGAACCCCAGGTATCTAGCGAAGTAGCTAGTTTATCAGATATGCTTGAGGTGCTAACAGATCTTTTGTCCTTAGGCTCTCGTCAAACTTTGGATTTTCGTTTTTGCTTACTGTGGTTTGCATGTTGGAGGTGAGAGCACATGCACAAACTGCCACAACTGTAGTATATATATCATCCCCTTTGTGCATGTCAGAGGTATGGATAAACTGTGTTTGTAAAAGTTAAAGCAGGGCTTATGATGTCACATTCTGTTTTTTTAACATGCCAGGAGTGGGACAATCACACATAGATAATCACAGAGGCTAATGGGTTTTTCCATCATGCCACTGCTGCACACTTTCAGCATGATGACATGCAGCAGAGCCTTAGAAGGACAGGAGGGGAGCAAATAAGGCTCCCAGCTTTGTATCATGTATTTTTTTACTTTTTTAGTCACGATAGAGGCAATTATTTTACCTTCCAATAGTCTTGTTTGCTAGATACATCCTTTTTACTACCCTCACTGTTTAGTTGTCTTGTTACTAGACACCCTGACCCTCCTTCTTGTCTGGCATTTATAGAAGGTTTTGCTGCGGGAGTTTGTGTGTTTACTCAGTAAAGAACTCTGCAGGTGTACAGCACACATGTAATCTGTAGGTTTCATCAGTGCGAGTGTTGTTACCACACTGAGGAAAACTGAACTAGGACTTTTCCAACTTCACGGGGCATAAAAATGCATGGATACCTAGAGAGAAATTACTTTATCTTCATTCAGGTACAGATGGAATAGTCCTCTCTTCATCAGTGGAGTCTGAGAATGGACATGTAACAGTGTGTCCTGATACCACCATCACATTCACCTGCTCAGACACTCTAGTCTTGGGTATGGTATGGTACGCTCTACCTCTTCTCAATGAAGACAACTCTCCTGCTCTGGGATCAGACACTGATATTGGAGATCCTCATATGGTGGAGGGTGTGTTTGCTATCACTCTAGTGGCCAGGGAACTGATGATGGGTGGCTTTCGTGGCAACTATACCTCAACTCTGGATGTGGTGGTGAATGATAGAATACAGAATGAAACAAATGTCACCTGTTTATACACCATCTTCTATGGCCTCTCTTCTCATTTTTAAACAAGGTTTGTTTTACTGTATTGTCGGGTGCAAGATATTTTGGGGTTATAGTCATTCTATGGTCAAGCTCACAAAATTAACATTTGAATGTGTCCCAGCAGCAGTTCAATTTCTGTACAGTTTTATATTTTGGGCACACAAAATATTAAATTTGCTTCATGAAAAAAAATTATTATGAGAGAAATATTTATATTTTTGAACACACTTGTAATGTTTAACATGACATGCAGGTTCTCCACTTTCTCCTCATGTGGACTTCAACATAGAGAGTCATTCTGTAGAGAACTTCACAACCTGCCTCACCTGGCAGAGACAGAAGTCTGATTTGTACTACCTGATCAACACTAGCTCTGGCATGGAATATAATCAAACCTCCACTGAACTCTGTCTGAGAGCAGAGTATAATACTCCTCTACAAGTCTCAGTAGTGGCTGTGAATTGTGCAGGGGAAAGTGAGCCAATGACTACTGACATCACCATACGTATGGCAATGATTTACTCTAGTGCTAACATAAGATTGATTCCTCTCCCTCAGCTGGCTGTGGTCCTCCCAGTCCACCAGTGAATGGCAGTGTTGGTGAGTGGACCAGTTCCAGAGTAGGAGCACAGGTCACCTACTCCTGTGACACCCACCTGGTTCTGGTGGGAGAGACTGTGGCCACATGCTCTCTCCCTTCTCTAACATGGCTGCCAAGTAGTGATGATGTCACCTGTGCACAACCAGCAGGTATTTTATATTCGTACCATTAATCATTATAATCTTGGCCCACAATATGCAGTATTAACCAGCAAAATTCCAGTGGTGACACCGACCATGCAACCAATGAGTAAGGCTGATGCCCTGAGCGTTACAGTCTTACAGCCTATATATCTCCACAGATGGTGATAAAAGAGGCAGTTCTCTGAGTACAGCAGAAGCAGTGGCCACAACAGGAGTAGTGTGTGTAGTGTGTAGCTTCACTGCTGGACTGCTACTTGGTGTTCTACTGACTCAATGTCATGGTCACTGTCATAGGAAGGGGAAGAGAGGCCAGACTGAGATACCTCCTGTTTATGAGGACATTCCCTTGGAGAAGACACCTCCCATTGAACTCAACACCAATGAAGCTTATGGACACATCTCAAGATGATTGTCATGTCATTACTGACTTCACCTTTCACTACATAAAAGCTCTGCTGTTTACATAACAAGAAATTGTTACTGTAGTTTCCTACAAAAACATTGACATGTAAATTGTTATCCTAGAGTAACATGCATAACTCTCTCACAAAATATACCATAAGTTCATGAGGTCAGGAAAGTGCTGACTAATCATTTTAGGTGTTCGTGTTGCTTGTAGCTCGACAAAAATCGAGGTCATAAGTAGCTATGTTGAATATAAAAGGTATCCTGGTAAGCGATTTACGATTCTATTATCATCTGTGTGTAATTCCTCCTTTATTTAGATGAGGCTGTACACATTGGCTGCAATAGTTTCCTCTGGAGGTAGTAGGAAAGTTTAAGAGCAGATAAACAATATTTTTTTACAAATTTCTACCTCACACTTATTGTCAATGGAGAAAAAGCCTGAGGCTTTGTAGAGATAAAGGCGCCTGTCTTATAACTTGCAGCTATTAGTAATTGTCGAGCAAGACTATACCCAATCATCTATAAGCTAACCATAATACAATAGGCAGCACAAGGCACACTGTAGGTACCGTTATGTCTACGTGTACAACCAGCATGTTGTAAGAGATGCACTTCAGAATCCTGATTGCCATTTTCAGTGGACACAGACTACTGTTCTCCATTCTGTGTATGTACCTTCATGAGACTGTGTTTTAGCCTATATTTCCGAACAGCTCAAACCACACCTCCACTCCCAGTGTATTAATAATTTGGTGTCTACTTCCAGAATTTTGCAATCAGCATGCTGTGGGAAAAGCTTCGTGCCACACCTAGTCTTGCAATGCATAAGTATTAAGTTAAAGTTGTGTGCTTTTGAAGCATGGCTGATAAACAGCTATTGATCTTTATGTAGGTGTCCAAGGTCTGTCCCTGTCTTCCTCTCCATCATCTGAGGATGGCATCATATCAGTCTGTCCTGCTACAACTGTCACCCTCACCTGTACTGCCAGTGGAGTTGGGGGTCTGGGATGGAGAGTTCAGAATAGACTGATTGATGGATTTTTAGCATGTGGTAATGAGTCCAGGATGATAGAAGACGGTCCCTACACTCTGACCCTAGTGTCAGTAGATAATGATGGTGGCAATTGTGTTGCTGACTTAACCTCTACACTGGAGGTTATGGTAGATGACATCGCCAATCGAACTAACATCTCCTGTGCTACATCCAGGAATCAGAAACACCTGGTCATCTATAAAATAAGTTAGCTACCAAAGAACAATTGTTTTTCCTTTGTATAATGGTCTTTATTTGTAGGTGCACCATTTCCTCCATCTAACATGATAGTGAGAACAGAGAATTTCCAACCTGACAGCTTCTCCATCATCATCTCTTGGGAGTCAGGGGAAGATGAAGTGGTTGATGAGTACAGAATACTGACCAACACCACTACACAGTCCATCACCACTACCAATACAACTATAGTTCTAGAGGGAGTGTACAACATTCCTCTGGAAATCAGAGTCTCCGCCATCAACTGTGCAGGCACTAGTGCAGAGGTCACTGAGGAAGTCTTTGTTGGCAAGTTGTCTCACTTAGTGAAGAGATAAACTATTCCATTGGCTCTCTC